ATCCTTAAAATTATTTATGTTAGGAAACACTACTTCCATTTTCAGGGTAAGACCAAACAAAAATCACCTAGGTATTTTGGACACTATGATGGGATAACCGGGGTGGCAATGAAAGACACTGCTGGTTGTTTCAGCGATAGCATGTGAATTCCAGTGGTGCTTCCCAATAGGGAGCTTCCACATTACAGAGAACACAGTTTTCTTTGCTGCAAGCAGGACAGCTGAAAGGGGAACTTACCCTAAGGTTTGCTTGGTACGCAGAAAGTCAAAACAAGGTTCTTCCATGTACATCTGAAATTCAGAAGGATTTCAATCAAGAAAATGCTCTTTAGGAGGGAGGGAAGGGGGAATTGATCTTTAACCTGCTATATCCCCAAAGGTTCAGGGTAAATAATTTATATGACAAGTAAGCAATACCCCCTTTTTAAAGACAGCCCTTAGAAGAACCTCCTGTTAATCCTCACATATCAAATACTTGCCCAAGTACCCTCCTTTACTTTGATCTGTGCAATGGCTTAATCTAACACAATTCGAAAGCCGTGGGAAGTTTTAATGTCAACTCTCCATAAAATACAGCACTGGACAAAGTATTGTGCATATTCCATATAGGCATATATGCAAATTAGCACATCACTGTGCATACTGGTTGATTCCCTAAAAATCACAGTGCTGGATCCAGCAAGAATATTTCTGCTAACAGAAGGGGAAGAGATTTTCACCAGCTTCTCCCTGATGCTGTCCCTGGGGTTCCCTTGTCTCCCAGGAGCACCATTTCAGGGGTATTTTGGACTGCAGTGAGAAGGGGAAGTGGAAAAGTTTCAATCCAATCCCATCAGCAGAGATTTTGTGCAGGCTCCAAACCACAGCTCTCCTTCCCTGTCCCCAATAGAAAACGGATTATATCGAACGGCACAAAAACAAGCTGGATATATTAGCTGAAGACAAGGAGTGCCTCTATCAACATGCTAGCTTTTACATGACATTTTCACAAGTCTCTTCAAGTATAATTGTGCAACATCCCACAAGCACATACTAGACAAGTTGTGGGTAGGAAGAAGAGAGAAAGACCCTTGTTTCAAGGATAGCCATATTGCTATACAATTCCCATGATACAATAATCATTGTATTAATGAACGCAGAAAATTTGCATGTTCCCCCAGCAAACTGCGGTTTCACTCCTGGGAAAATATGGTATATCTTCCCAACAGAAAAAACCCTTGAGGCATAACCTGTAGACTGTGTACAAAAAAAATGAATGTTTACGTATGTGAAAAGCCTCTTGAGATGGGTCTTCAAAAAGGACGATAGGTGTGATTTCTGAATCCTGCACAATAACCAGTTGCCATGTCTATGCCCCTCATCACCCCAAAACTTCCTTGTTTCCAGATAATCCATTACCCTAAAGCAATTTTTTCACAAACTCCCGAAATATGGTATCTCAGAGATTATTTTGTGCACAGTCCATTTGTGTTAGCTAACTGAATCTACATTCAAGTGTTTTGATCATTACCATTGACTGTACAGAAAAGAAACAAATTACTTGTTTAAGAAATCTCTAAGAAATCTAAACTTACCACAAGCAATTCCATGAGAGAATATTCTCTTAAACTCCGGGCTCCAGACTAAACAAAAAAACACAGAGTTTTCATTACAAAGTCTGTGCATTTGCACTAACTAAACCTGATCTATGCCATCTTGAGTTCCGTGGCAGAAAAAAACATCCTGTACATATACTGAAGTCCATTACCCACTTGTACCTGAAAAGAATCAGGACATGCACGATGGAAACAGATAAACACATGGTAGCTCTACTACGTGAAAAGATGTTTGTCACTAGATTCTGGCTCCCCAGTTAAGAGTCTCCTGAGTTTACTCTGCAAGCAGTTCCCTTGTCCCTTTTATGTGGTAAAAACTGCCATGTGCTAAATTTTTACATGACAGCTCTCAGGTTAATGCTACTCTCTTTCCATCTGGGGTTGGATGACAGTTTTGTTTATGGTGAAAAGGCAGACCAACATTATATACAAATTATAAGATCTGTGCTTTAGGCTATACTTTTATAAAAACTGTAGGCTGAATTTACAAAGTGTCAAACTGATTATTAATAGAATTTAAAAGTTTTTACTGGACTGTACCTCCATGTAGAAGAGAAAAATGGAGGGATGCATACCTGAATGCCTCCTCATGAAAAAAATCCTTCACACACTATGCTAGGAAAAAGGGTTCAGAGTCATCTTCTTCACAATCTGTTTTCTATTAGAAATATTTGAAACAAGGAATAAGGCCCGTTGTGGAAATAAATACAACGAGCTCTAGAAAGAGACTCTGGGCGGGTGCCCCGGCCTTGGGCACTCAGCATCAATTTGCTGTGGCGACCTTAGCAGGCTATAATGTGTTTGACCCTTATAGTGGGTAAGTCTCCATTGCAGCTGCTAAGTGCACAGGTTGTGCTGTACGGTGTTCCAGGGGGACCAATTAAAGCCACTTGTTTTGTCAAAATGTAAATCATTAAAAAAAAAGAAAAAAAAGCAGGCTATAATGACACAGGATCCACCATTTTCTCCAGGGGAACTGATCTCTGCCATCTGAAGAGCAGTTGTAATTCTGCGTGATCTCCATCCCTCCCCTGGAGACTGGCAACAATGGTTCCCCATGAGGGAATGGCTGGCTTGGAGGGTGGAGTCTAAACCAATCAGTTGGTTTGGCATAGGAAAAGGAGTACAACAAGGATGTATACTGTCACCCTGATTATTTAATTTATTTATGCAGAGTACATCATGCGAAATGCCAGCCTGGATGAATCACAAACTTGACTGTGTGACTGAACAACAAAAGTAAACAAGCCCCCCCCTGCTATGTAAATGCCTGCTTCTGAAAAATGGTGTTAAGCAAGTTTATTTGGGAGATCTGATTTAGAGCCAAGTGGCTACCGCAGCCAATCAGTGCACTGGTTTCTTTGATAGGACAGTGATGTGATCATGATTTTCCCCCCTTTTATGACACTGTGGTTACATTGTAACACAACCATGCATGCACCAAAAAGGCTGTCCATCGGGCACAGAAATGCATGATGGGAGGGAGAGTGGCTACAACCTGCAGTTAATGCAGAGTATTTAAGTTTATTCTGACAGGAAAGTGGCCAAGCTGACGGTGGGGGAGGGGGTTGTGCTGAAAGTCCTTTTTTTTTTTTTACTACAGAAGCAAGCTTGGTTGCCTACCAACAGCCACTGAAGGGACAGTTAGTCCCACACAAGAGCCAAGAGAAGTGTCTTCCTCAGGAGAGAGTCCGGCTTTTCAGGAGCCGCAGTTCGTTTCCTCCAGATGCTCCCTGGTACTGCCGCCGCTGCTGAAGGAAGGAAGGGGAGCCTTTGAAAGGTGCTGGGCAGCCTTCTCTGTGGTGCAGCCCACTGAGCTATCACTCTGACAAAGCGCCGGCCTTGCAGCTGAGGGAGAGGGGCCGCAAGGGGCAGTGAAGTTGAGTGCTTCCCCTGCTTGCTGCCTCGTTAGGTCTGCCTCCTTCTCCCCCATGGAGGGGTTGCCGCTCTCTCGGCGGAGCATCCATCCCCTTCGCCAGCTCCCTCCAGACTGAGGGCGTGACGCTGGCTGCCGGCTCTGTGGGCAGGGCCGAGGCAACGCAGTGAGGCAATGCAGCCAGGGGATTGACAGACCTTCAGAGTGGCAGCTGAGGGAGCATGTGGAACGTTGAGGAAAGTGAGACACGAAAACTCTTATATATAAGGAGAGACAGTGTCTCCAAATCAGAGATGAGAAAGCCACTAACTATGATCAAGCAATGCAGCATAACATGATAAATATACCATCTCTTTAGACCCACACTACCTGGTAATAGACAGTCACTTCTGAATTTGCATCGCCTTTGTTAAGGGTTTTCACTTTGCACAGCAGATGAGCACTTGGCATGTCCATCACTTGAAACTGTACTGGACATGGGTGCACTTGAGGAAGGAACTGCAGTTTTCTGAAAGGAGTTAAAAGATCAGAATGTCAACTGCCAAGCCACCGGTCCCCAAGCTTTTTGAGCCTGTGTGCACTTTTGGAATGCTGACACAGGGCAGAGGATAGAACCAGAAAATGGCTGCCATGGGAGGCAGAGCCAGCCACATACCCAGAAGTCCAAGCATTGGGAGAAAAAGGGGTATTTTAAAATACACTGGTAAAGCAGAATGAGACAGAGAATAAATCTAACTCTGTGGAGGTAGGTGCCGCTGAAGCAATGTTATTTTAATCAGCACAGCCAATCAGATCCCTAATGGCCAATCAAAATTGGCCCCACCCATTTTCTGAAAACATTTGGCAGGCACCAGGTAAGATGTGAGTGGGCACCACGTTGGGGACCTCTGCTTTAAGCCAATGTCAGTGATATCATCTTGGCACACAAGATGTCTGCAAATATTCATGCCAGTTTCAGACTGTGTCATTTTAACAAAAAAGTAAAATATATAATAAGCAAAAGGCCTGCCTCAGGTATAAGAGAAACTGTATTTGATTTTAGAAAGATGAACCTTTATGTTTTATGATATGTATCTTCCGTGTTCTCCAGCACTAGCCAGGATTTGTAGTCTTAACCATTTCCCAATGCAAAGGATGAATATACTCACTCAACAACATAATCCAGAAATTCTTTTGATTCCTAAAAACAGACAAAAACAGATATTTTTTCTCTAACTACACACACTGCCACAGTGAGATTGTAGGCATTCTGTTATGAGGAAGTAAAACAGCAAGGTGGGCGTAGAGAGCTTGTAGCATGTATTAAACAAGCTCCCTGTGCAGAAAACACCCAGAACCCTATTGCTGCTGCTGCAGCATGAGATCGTTATGGCTCAGCACCAGGCCATTCACTCTGGCTGTAGGAACTGAAACTAATACACTGCACTGCCCACTTTAAATGGTTTAAATTGGTTTTATTGTACTGTTTTTAATATTGTCTATTAATTCTTGACCTATTTTAAAATTGTGTTGTGTCTGTTGTTGTAAGAAGCCCTGAGCCCACTTGCAGGAAGGGTGGGATATAAATCAAAATAATAAATATATGTCTGGGCCCACCTCCCCCTTCACTCCCACAAGGCTACAATCATAAGCTCCTTCCCATATATTCTGTGACCCAAATTAAAGACAAAGTTTAAAATGTAAGGTGTTTCCTAGCACCACAGCAAGAATTTTTCCCGAAAGCCTCAAGAGCTCAGATGCAAACCAGTGCAAAGTCCTTGAGGACTTTGTGTGGAAAGACAGGGTAGACAGTTTTAAAATAAATAAAAATAAAATACAAGCACTAATGCTTTTTCCACAGCTACATAACAGGAAATAAGATGGTCCTGCAGCAACAAACTAGAAATAGCTTACATTTGTAATATAGGACGCCTAATGGTCAATTTAAGACAACAGTCAGTACCTGAATACAGTGGAAAAAACCCTTTCCCATCCCCTGTGGCTCATCCATGCAAAGAGAAGTCATGTTTAAACATCTTTTTTACATGTGCAAATCTGTGTGTAACATTAACATACTAGCACTGCATAGTCCTGAAACAGTTGATACTGGTGTGAGGATGTTCCAACGATTTTGACCAGATCATTTGAAAGACACATTTCCGTTCCAATCCCTAATACACAGACTGTTTTCACAGAACAGAGCTTTTGGGCACCAACTACTGGCAGTGCACAATCCCCTGCAGGTCATAATAATAGGACTCCTATGTTCAATTTGAGTGGGCTGGGTTTATTAGTACTAGACAGCCTGCTGACATACTATCTTATGACAAGCCATTCTGAGCAAGTGTAAGTTAACACGGAAGTTAGAACCATCAAGAGTTTGCACATTGCAAGTACTATTATTTGAAATATTTCTAGGCCACCTTTCCACCCAAATAGGGTCCCCAAGGCGGCTACCTAGCTCAGGAAAACTGTTTGTAGTTTCATGAATATATAGCACAAAGATACATTTTGCTGAAAGAGACGGTAGCTCCGAGGGGCAAATGAAGCAGAGATCAGAGCTGCACTCACACTGCTTGTGAAATTTCCTTGGACAAGGCCCTCTGCAAAGAGCTGAGATTTGAAAGCCTTCACAAACAGCAAGAGAGAATCAATGGAAAGGCCCTTCATTAGTGTTTCATATTTGTCCATCATAGACCACCTGCCGTGTTCCAGTATTAAGAGGCGTATATCTCTGTAACAAATGGAGAAATACTGATGAATGCCCGTTACCTGAAAACAATGCCTTTGAAGCTGCTCCTGTACCCTCTGTACGATCAGTCCAAAAATAAACTACATACCGGCAACTCCTTCCATTTGCAACGTGACTGTTTCACCTTTTTCCTAATTTTTCTTAATCCAAGGTCAAAATCTGCTCAGACTACACACCTGCCATACTTTTAATTCCACAAATTGTGATTATCACTGAGTCTTATACAAAGTAACAAGGCTGGGACTTTGCAAAGTTCACAAGATGGACATGCAGGGGAAACGTGGCTAATAAGTGCCATGTGGCACTCTGGGGAAAAGGGGGTGTTGTGGGTAGCAGCTAGAAAAGCTCTCGAATGGCTGCTACCACTCTGGTATGGGTCTTCTCACACCCTACTTCCTTTTCCAAGGCAGACTATCATGCAATGTAGGGGTCTTCAGCTTGGGCAGGAGTGGACTGGGGAACTGAACAGCTCAAGTGCATGCATGGAGCAGATCACAGCCATAGTGCTGTAAATACAAAGTAAGCCTCATACGATTTTCAGGTACAAGTAATACATTCAATGGAACAACTGGTCATTTAGAAAATGAAGCCACCAGTACAATGCGAAAAGTTATTTACAGACGCTGGCCCCAGTATCAAATATGGCTTAGGAATACTAGAAAGATAAGCACAACCCATGCTCTCAATGCTTCTTCCCTCCTGGCACCCAGACCATGTCTTTACTCCCTGCCCACAAACAATGCTCTTCCTGTTCCTGCCTTGCTCCATCACTCAATTGCCAAAAATATTCTTCTCTTCCAATGCAAAACCACTGAAATGAGGCAAGCCTATTGAACCACACTTCCATGCTGAGCATAGGGTGAGGGTTTCCCTTCCACAGAGTATACCCAGGCTTACATGCAAGTACAATCTGCTCCCTCAGCCTAGAGATTCAGCATTGTTTCATTGGACTCATGTAACTCACTTGGCCAGTGTCTCTGGTTTGATGAGGATGTTGAAGTAAGTCTTCTTCAGCTGCTCAGTTATCATTTCAAAAACCTCTGGAGTAAAACTGAAGTCAGCTAAGTGGTCAATGATGAGTTGAAACAGCAGCTAAAATAGAAAAACAAATTCTAAAGCAAATTATCAGCAGTCTGATGGAGCAAGATCATAACTACTTTTTATACAAAGAAACTAAAGTTAAAATACTGTTAACACTTACAGATAGCTTATGATTGAATCCTTTCACACGAATGATCAATCCATGCTCTCCTGCTAACAGCTTGTATTCCAACTGGGCAACATCTGCTTCATAAGCAGGTTCAGCAAGGTTGTGCGCAAAGATGTTCACAAATGTATCAAAAAGCACCACACTGCACACAATAATTTGTGATGGTGGGAAACAGAAAAGGTAAAATTTTGAAAGAACTTTTTACAATAAAAAGGCTCTGGAATCATAAGGTAACAGTTTCCCTTGCTTGAACGCTACTCAAATCTGACTCTAGGGGGCGGTGCTCAGCGCCATTTCCAAGCCAAAGAGCCAGTACTTTCCGAAGACATTTCTGTGGTCATGTGGTCGGCGTGACTAAATGCTGTTACCTTTCCACCAAAGCAGTACCTGTTTATCTACTTGCAATTTCTTGCTTTCAAACTGCTAGGTTGGCAGGAGCTGGGGCCAGAGGGCCACAGTGGCTAAGACGCTGCGCTGCAGACCGGAAGGTCTGTAGTTCGGCAATTCGAGACCCTAGTGCCACGTGACAGAGTGAGCTCCCATCTCTGGCCCCAGCTCTGGAATCATACCATGCACTTAAATATAGGAGATGTTTCATTTTTTAAATCAAGATCTTTACATGATATCAGATTCTTTTAAACCACGAACCACAGAAAAAACACGACACAATGAGACTCTGGTACTTTGAATGTCAATGACGAATGTCATTTTACTTGACAGTCCACTGCTGATATTAAGCAGGTGGTAAACAGACTTCAAAGAGTACCCTCACAAGATAATGCTTAGATGACAAATGAAATGGCCCTTCATCACCCCCACCAACAACTTCATTTAACTCAGCAGTAAGCATCCCAGGGACTCTACAGAAGTATGCAACACTGTGAGTTATTCAGAGTTCAGTAGCAGCTAGAGGCACGTAAATGTTTTTGTTGCAGGGAAAATGTTAACCACGTATAAGAAAGAAAGACTTTGATCCTTACTTCTCGGGAGACTGTTGGATCAGCGGTGAGATTAGATGGAAGCGGATATAAGCTGAAATAAATAATTATCATGAGCAACAGCAAACAATGAGGTAGTTCCTTCAGGTAGTTATTTCTTATTGAGACCTCCAGATCTAAACATTACAAAAGTGACCACTACAGATTAAGGAGAACCCTCAAGCCCAAACACAATGTTTGGACGACAAATGAAATGAAAGTCTTTTCTTTCTAAAACCATATCTACACAGTTCAATTATGCACAACAAATCTATACATTATTAGCCACCTGTGGCCCCCAACTGCGGATAGCTAAGTCCACAGATCCGGGCCACACAGAGGATAAACAGATTTTTCAGCAAACTTGGGGCACTTCCCAGGTTTGCAGAAAACTCGGCTTGAGGGTGGCCACTGCATGGCCCAGGAGCAATGCAGGGCACACCACCAACTGTGGCATAAGCTGGGAGTCACGCTGGGCCCTGAGTCCAGGGCATCCCCAGGGCCTAGCAAGAAAGTTGGGGGAATCCACACACTTTTTCTATTTATTTTTTTAAAAAACACATTTTAGGACATGGATATTGAGAAGCAAGGAAATGTCATTTAATTACATCTATTCTACCAGTAAAACACATGTTCAAAAAAACCACCAACACCACTGAAGCTGGAAGGCTGAATGGAGTCCCGTTAGTGGTTAACAGATGTGAAATTAACTATTTTTAACTTGTAGGTGAATACACCACAAGGCATCAGAACAAGTATGAATGTCTCAATTTAAAAAACAAAACAAGTAACTTCATGTAAGATTATATGAGAAACAATGCTATCTTGAATGCCCACTTTTTATAGGATAGAAATGTATTAAAGTTTAGAAAGATGCATATATAAGGGTGTTTACCTTTAGGGATTTTGAATTTATCATCCTTCTTATACCACAAACAACCTTGCTGGGTACTCAGTATACTGACTGGATATTCTGTCTGTGGACAGTCAGGGACCTTCAAAGCAAAATCTGTTGCTAAAATGGCAAATAAAAAGGGTGTTAATACTGTAGATCCATAAGAAATAGACCAAATACACATCTCTCTGAAATGATCCAGCCTGCCATGAACTGCTTAGTCAGCATCATTTAGAAGCTCAGAAGCCAAGATCAGTGAAGTCATTCCATGTTTACGGATATTATTCTTGAACAGTTAAGAGTGCCTTGTATCGTACATTGTTATCTTTTATTTAAAATAATCCGAGGACACAAGGGACTTGTACAACATAAATCACTTTAATACCATGCTCTAGTTTCACCTTTGCACTGAAACCACTGTAGCCAATTTTTTTGTCACAGCCAGAGTTATACCAAAATCAGTATTAGCTAGCAGAAAAGCTGGGGAAGTGGAAGAGGCACCAGCACACAGTCAAAGAAGATACGAGCTAAAGTTTCAATTGGGCCAGATTCACAAAGATACAATCTGTCCAAGTAAGATTTTAAAAAGCAGCACAACACCAAAAATAATATAGAACATACTCTATGAGCTCTAGCAAGGGCCAACTGACAATCTAAGGCCTCCAATGTTCTACAGCCTAGCAGCCTGAGGGCCAATAGACAATAAAAACACAGAGGGGACGGCCCCAAATTATGGAGTTTAGATTTGAGACTGAATCTCCATTGCAAAACACAGCAATCAGGCTATTAAAATGGAAAGAAACCAGAAGCCTCCTTTGAAAACAAAACCTTCAAGTAAAGGTGAAAAACCAGCTTCCAAGCTTGGCATTCCACTATCCAAGACCCAAGTCCAGCTGCAGAATCACAGAGGCTAATACAGTGGGGAACTCCATTAATTTTAAAGCATTGGTCAATAAAGCTATCAGTTCTGATAATCCAAATGGTTGCCCCATGTAAATGCTGTGACAATACTTTAACCCTAAAATCTTGAATTGCTACAGAACAAGGAACAACAAACACCCACAGAGGAATCAGCTGCAGAGAACAGGGCACACAGCTTATGAGAAGAACGCTAGAGAGCGAAACTGGGATACCTGCTCAATTGGCCAAGTGTTCAACTTTTGAGATAACTGCTTAATCTGAAGGGACCTCAAGAAAACCATAACTTTAGATTTTTTTCACAATTAATTACCAGACCTTCCCACCTTCAGCAGCCTCCCCGCCTTCAGCAGCCTACACAGACCCACCAGGCAACTAGGTAAAAGAATAGCACCATCTATTTCAAGCAGTATCAGAATCTGATAGATAGCTAGAATAAAAAGGTAAAGGTTCCCTTGCTCGAAAGCCAGTCGAATCCGACTCTAGGGTTGTGGTGCTCATCTCCGTTTCAAAGCCGAAGAGCCAGTGCTGTCCGAAGATGTTTCAGTGGCCATGTGGCCAGCATGACTAAACACCTAGGCGCACGGAACGCTGTTACCTTCCCACCGAAGTGGTCCCTATTTATCTACTTGCAATTTCTTGCTTTCGAACTGCTAGGTTGGCAGGAGCTGGAACTAGAGACGGGAGCTCACTCCGTCATGCAGCACCCGGGTCTCGAACTGCTGAACTACTGACCTCCCACAGCCTGCAGTTCAGCGTCTTAACCACTTGAGCCACCACAGAATAGGGGCATGGAAATTCACTACTGATAATACCTCAGTGGGGTCATTAATAGAGAGGTTGAAAATTCACACGCCCCCAACAAAGGGATGTTATTTGTCAATTGTCCCTTGAGACCCAATGAATGGGCAGTCAGATTGTTATACAGTTGTTGTATTAGAAATTGAAGTCTATGATCAATGGAAGAAACATACAGTTCATAGGCTCTCTCTATGCGCAGAATCAAACACAGCCTTTAAATCTATAAAGCCTACACAGAGCAAATCCTCTGAGGGAGCTAAATACTTCTTGGCCAGATGGAAAAGAACTAGACAATGATCAACATGGAAAGCCCTCTCTGAAAGCTAGCCTGTTTCCTCCCCAAATTCCTTCAGTCTGAAGCGGTAAGAGGCATAAAGCTTCCCAACAGATGACAGGTAGAGGATTTGGTAGTTAGATGGATTTAACCTTCAGCCCTTCTTATAAACCAATACAAGAACGTAAGAGAAGCCAATGTTGGATCAGGTCAATGGCCTATCCAGTACAACACTCTGTCACATAGTGGCCAAAAATACCAAATGCCATCAAGAGGTCCATCAGTGGGGCCAGGACACTACAAAAATAGCTTGGAACCAGCATTCTGGAACACCACCAATATCATTTATTGTGGTAAACAAAGCCGCTACAAGCAGCGCCCACCAATCTGCAAAATCTTTAACAGATCCGCAGGAAAAAAGTCTGACCCAGGATCTTTGGCGGCATAAGGGTGCTACTCCCTACTCCCTACTCCAATGCCAGAGGTCATGTTGGCAGGGAACTGGCAAGAATAATCAAGGGTAATAAGGAAAAGGAAGAGTCCTGCTGGCCCTGGTGGCGTTAAGCAGGGCAAAGAAATCGTCCTCCCAAACCTCAGTGGGAATAAAGTATGAAGCCCAAACAAGAGCATCAGAAAACATAGTCCAGAACGTCCAAGAACTGTTACTACAAAATGCTACTACAAGCTGCCACTACTTTAAATATGATGCTGCCTTTTCTTGAAAGAAATAAGGGCCTTATAGACCCTTTTCACCAAGAATAATCTATGCAGAGTGATGGCAAAATTTATCCACCAGAAACACTGGTCAGCAATCTGCACCCTCCTCTTGCTTGCTTACATTTGTCATCAACCGACACTCATCCCCCCTGAAAGCATGGGGAAAGAAGGGCCTCAAGACCCTAGCATACAAAGGTCACAAAACTTCCAATAGCACCACAGAATTCTGCAATCCCAGTTCCATTAAAAGGCTGCAATAACATTAGCTTTCAGCAGGTAGAGGAACTGGGATTATTCTAATACGAATGCACTTGAGTCTATCTGCTAAATCTCCATCCTGTTCGGCTTTACTAGTGGACCAATAGGCCTAAAGGGACAGAAGCAGAAGAAATTAGGAAAAGATGGCAAGAATAACAGAACTATACAAAAAGGACCTCAACGTCCTTGACAAACACAATGGTGTGATCACTGACCTTGAGCCACACATCCTGGAGTGCAAAGTCAAATGGGCCTTAGAAAGCATTACTAACAACAAAGCTAGTGGATGTGATGGTATCCCAGCTGAGCTATTCGAAGTTTTAAAACATGATGCTGTTAAAAGTACTGAACTCAATTTGCCAGCAAATTTGGAAAACGCAACAGTGGCCACAGGATTGGAAAAGGTCAGTTTACATTCCAATCCCAAAGAAGGGCAGTGCCAAGGAATGTTCAAACTATCACACAACTCACAAGCTAGTCTTCAACAATACGTGGATAGAGAACTTCCAGAAGTACAAGCTGGGTTTCGAAGAGGTAGAGGGACTAGCGATCACATTGCCAACATTCTCTGGATTATGGAGAAAGCAAGAGAGTACCAGAAAAACATCTACTTCTGCTTCACTGACTATGTTAAAGCCTTTGATTGTGTGGATCACAACGAACTATGGCAAGTCCTTAAAGAGATGAGAGTACCAGACCACCTCACATGTCTCTTGAGAAACCTGTATAAGGGTCAAGAAGTGACAGGTAAAACCGGATATGGAACAACTGATTGGTTTAGCATAGGAAAAGGAGTATGACAAGGATGTATATTGTCCCCTTGCTTATTTAATTTATATGCAGAGTACATCATACGAAATGCCGGCCTGGGTGAATCACAAGCCGGAATTAAGATTGCTGGGAAAAACATCCTCAGATATGCAGACGATACCACTCTAATGGCAGAAAGTGAAGAGGACCTAAAGAGCCTCTTTCTCAGTGTGAAAGAGGAGTGTGCAAAAGTTGGCTTGAAACTCAACATCAAAAAAACTAAGAGCATGTCATCCAGACCCATCACTCCTTGACAAATAGAAGGGGAAGTCATGGAAGCAGTGACATACACGTTCCTGGGGTCCAAGATCACTGCAGACGGTGACTGCAGCCATTAAATTAAAAGACGCCTGTTCCTTGGGAGGAAAGCGATGGCAAACCTAGACAGCATAATAAAAAGTATAGACATCACCTTGCCAACAAAAGTCCGTATGGTCACAGTGATGGTATTCCCAGTAGTAATGTATGGCTGCGAGAGTTGGACTATAAGGAAGGCCGAGCGCCGAAGAATAAATGCTTTTGAATTATGGTGCTGGAGAAGACTCTTGAGAGTCCCTTGGATTGCAAGGAGATCAAATCAGTCAATCCTAAAAGAAATCAACCCTGACTGTTCCCTGGAAGGCCAGATAATGAAGCTGAAGCTCAAATACTTAGGCTACCAAATGAGAAGGGAGCACTCACTGGAGAAGACCCTGATGCTGGGAAAGATTTAAGGAAAAAGAAGAAGGGGATGGCAAAGGATGAGATGGTTAGACAGTGTTATCGATGCAACGAACATGAAATTAAGCAAACTCCGGAGCACGATGGAGGACAGGAGGGCCTGGGGTGATGTGGTTCATGGGGTAACGAAGATTTGGACTCGACTGCGCGACTGAACAACAACAACATACAGGAATTTGGGAATAAAAGTGTCAGCTTTTTATTCTTGATTTGATTTGATTTAAATTTGAGTTACATTTTATTCGAGTTCAGTCCTGTCACCTCTGTCCCTAGATGCAGTAAGAAACTGCACCCTTGCAAGACAACTGATGAAGTTCTCCACCACCCCAATTGTTTACATTTGCTCTTGGACCACCAGTGCACCCGGAGTGTCAGGCACAGCAACAATCCAGAATAGTTTTAAGCTTCTCATGGTGAGAAACCTGTGACTCTTTGTATGAAATACAGTCTTACAGACAATATGATTCAACAGGAATGTTACATCAGTGTTGAATGTTACAGCTTTAAAATCTTATATTTTTGCACATTGTTCAAATTTCAGATTCTGCTCTAATGCTCCTAATTCTTTGTGAATTCAACAGGCTAGGACTCCAGCTAAACACATTTGTTCCATTCACTTGTGTCATAGCTGTAAAAACATTAATGTTGTAATCAAGTACAAGTATGTCTTTCTTCTCATTTAAAAATGAGTCTTCAGCCACATTTTGAGAAAGGAACCCAAACCACATTCAGATTCATACTCCATGCATAAGAAATCATGTGTTACTCACCAATATATCTGTTTTCTTCAGGCATGTGCAAGTCTGGATTTAACATGAAGTCACTAGCCCACATATCACTCCAGTGTTTATCTATATCTGTAATAAATAGAATATTGGCCTACTGGAAGTAGATAGCTGAACAGCACTGTCAAGAATCTGGTCCCTTTAAGCAGTTTCTTGTTCAATTCGAACAATGGTTCAGGCTGAGGCCTAGAAAAGTTTTCTCTGAAAACTAAGGTCAAGCTGCTTGTAGCTTCAAAGACTCAGATAATAAAGGTAGAAAATCATCCCATTAAGCCTGATAGCGTCAAAGACGTCAGAATCTAGGAGGGCACATTCCGTCTCATTAGAGCCTGAGCTCAGGGGTAGGAGAAGGTGTTTGTTTAATTGAACCCAATACAGCTGCAGGGCATTTGGTTTAATTGGCAAACCCATCTGATTGGTCAGTTCATCTGGTCAAGGTTAAGTTACATCCTTTGCTATACATGTGATTGGTTAATTAGAATCCGGCCAATGCTGGTCATTGAGCATAGAGGAAAGACCTTTCATTCTAGTTTTGCTCTGTATCTGGCTTACATCTGATTTTGGAACATGTTGTGTGTGGATCATACTGACCAGAAAGCTTGTTTTGGACTCTGGAACCCTTTTGGGACTCAGTCTTATGGGTAGAGATGTAAAATTTCCAGAAATTTTCTGTTTTTTTTTCGGGGGGAAACGGAACTTTTCAGAAAAATTGAAAAATGCTACATTAGCATTTCTTTTGTCTTTTCTAGATTGAAAGTCATTCTGTTACTTTAGGAACATAAAATATGACTATGGACATTTTTACTTGGCATGAAATTATCACAACTAGCATATTAAAAATATAGTGTATCCAAACAATTATTTCAAACAGAATACCCACCCACATGCAAAAACAAAACTGAAACTTTTTTATTTTCTTCTGACAATCGCACCTCCTAAAGGAAGAAATGTATCTTGTTCTTGCATTGGAGGGTTCAGTTTGTAACCTAGGACTTGCTTGTCTTCAGTGCACAGAAATTAGATCAATCTGATACCATTTATATATATTTTAGAAATGATTTGGAAAATATTTGAACACCTTGTCTTAAAATATTTTATTCATCATGTTAAAATAAAACGTTCCATAATAAATCCCCCCCCCCCTTTTTTTTCTTTTTCAATTTTTCCAATTTTTCAGGAAAAAACAAAAAGGCTTCAGGAAAAAAACCCGGGTTTTTTCCGAATTTTTCCAGTTATTTTCCGGGCCTTCACATCTCCTCATATGGGTAACATCTGGATCTTGAACCAATGCTTGTAAATGTGCTTAGTTTTGACTTACAGCTTTATTATTTTTATTCTCACTGTTCACTGCTCTTTTATCGACTATTCCTTTACAACTTTATAATAAAACGTTCTACTTCTACTTTGGTGGTCTTCTTGAATTCAGGAGGCTTCAATTTGATTCCAGTACTTTAGCCCTTGCTGGCTACAGCTACCAGATTGTGTTGTGAAACTTGCCTTGTAAGCATCCTACCTTGCATAGGTGACTTTCTTGATCTTAGTCCCAGGAGGGCTGGAGGCTTTTGTCTCTTGGATTCTGACTGTCTGGGTAGAAAATGAGCTGGGGGCAGAACTACCTGGGGTGTGAGGACTCACACTTCAGCCTTTTTAGTTTTGTCTTGCTTGACCTGACTTTAGTGTCCCTTGACAAACACCTGGTGAGGTTTATGTACGTAACTCTATTAACTGTGCCTTCCCCCTCCTCCACTCATACCATATCACTCTTCTTCTGTTGCAGCAGGAGCAGACTACCCATTCATCTGATCTAACAGATTCCTTTGCAGCTGATGAGATTCAAATCACAACCTTTTGCTAACCATGCTAGAAACTCCATCTTTCAACAGCATAGGGGTTCCTCAACTGGTCAGAGTCTAACTACCAGAACTTCAATCCCTCTATATTTTATACCACTGCTGTGCCAGAAATAGCCCCTCTCTACACCTCAAGTTATTGCCCAGGATTCAAAATTACCTTCAATGCTGTATTGTGTGCCAAACCACTTCTCCTTCAGATGACACTGGCCTTCATTGGAAGCAGATAATAGAATAAGGTTGGCTCGCTGGGGACACAGCTCTTTAAGAGCCTCAGCAATTGACTGAAAAGAGAAAGGACTCAAAGTTAGCCATCTCCCTTTTCACATAAAACCATAGGGTTTCATTCCACTGCTTGACTTAGAAAACACAGAGCATGAAGGACTGTAACCCCCTTCACAACCCCTCCAATGAAATGTTTTCCTGGATCTGAAACTGATATCAATCTGATCCAAGTAAAGATATCCCCAACCCTCATCTTCAGTGACCAGGCTCATCTGTCCTAACAAGCTCACTTACCTCTGGCTTGTATTCAAATAGAAGCTGGTCTCCTGTCAGAATGTCCTCTTTTGGAAACAACTGCATATTTTCACAAAGGCTTTCCACATACTCAACTGGATCAGTCTGTAAACAAACAATTCTATTTCACTAACTAACAATTGGGGGGGGGATTCTTCACCTTCCTTATGGTGGAGCCTATGGGTGGATTTATATGTTAATTTTTCTCCTCCAGTGTACACTGACCTTTGCAGTTGCCATGCATCAGGAACCCATTTCCTTTAAAGGATTTTATATTCCAGTAGATAGTTCAAATGAATGCTGAAATCAAGTTCATCTGGTGCTGACCCTGGCAGATAAACTAATAACTTCTAACACATGGACTGCAAACACAATGCAGGGGGTGGGGAGGGACTGTCCAAATCCACCCTTAGACTCAGGCTCAATATTCAGGAAAACAGTCTGACTGAACAGCTGTTCACTTGAATTCATCCTAAGTACGGCTCTGAAACCAAGTTGTCCACTGTGAAAACGTAAGATATACCTTCAAATGGAAAAAGTGCCATCCCACATCACTATCCCATTGATCATCCATTCCTAGTCTCTGTAAGAGGCAGAACAGCCACTCATTTCAACTACTGGAATGTGTACACTCTCTCTCAAATGTCTTCAATACTTAACAGAATACATAGAGCAAAACAGGAATAAGTGAGATTCACTAGCCATAGATTTTAGTGACATGGGGGGAAAAAATCAGAGTTTTTATTACAGAACTATATATGCAAAGGGGAAAATCCACCTTTAATTCAGCAAGGCAGAAAAATGAAAAACAAAACACAAAGGAGGAAAATATTTGATGCTAGAGACCAAGCCACATATTGAACAAATATGTAAAGAAAATTGTAATAATTCTCTATTTCTTCACCTCATATGTATCTTCCAAATTTCACGAGGCTAGAGCAGCTAAGGGTAAGCTACAATGTAAAAACATCAGAAAAGTTTAAAAATGTTATGCCACTACTTACAGAGGATTATGGAACAACATACCTGTTCTTGATAATGAAATTCATTAGCTTCAATCTTCTGGATCTCTTCCCATATTCTGTAGGTGACAAAACATCCTCTCATTATTCAGCTATATAAAGTAAAGGTAAAGGTTCCCTTGCTCGAAAGCCAGTCGAGTCCGACTCTAGGGTTGCGGTGCTCAACTCCGTTTCAAAGCCGAAGAGCCAGCGCTGTCCGAAGACATTTCCATGGTCATGTGGCCAGCATGACTAAACACCAAGGCGCACGGAACCCTGTTACCTTCCCACTGAAGTGGTACCTATTTATCTACTTGCAATTTCTTGCTTTCGAACTGCTAGGTTGGCAGGAGCTGGAACTAGAGATGGGAGTTCACTCCACCATGAGGCACCCGGGTCTCGAACTGCTGAACTACTGACCTTCCACAGTCTGCAGTTCAGCATCTTAACCACTTGTGCCACCGCAGCTCCTTATTCAGCTATACTTGCCATAAAATTAACAAAGCAAATTCCAAAAAATTAATTTCTCAACAGAAATAATACTCTATACAGGTAAACAGTAGATATAAGGTGTAATTGAAAATTCTGGTACCCCATTAAATTTATTCTACAGTCTCTGAGCTCTTAATAACTAACTTTCATTGTTTTTTTCTTAGGAGTGTCTCCTTAGGGTAATTTACTCTTTACTGTGATTTGTTGTTTCTGGTCAAATATAATAACAAAAAGAGACTGATAACTTCTGAGACTCAGCTAAGTTTTAGGTACCTTTGATCTGGTCCTGTTTTCTGCAACATTTTCAAATACTGGAACACAACATGAGCAACCTGAAAATAGGGAAAAAAGCATGCAAGGTTTTTGCAAATGGAATAAGCAACGGTCATAAGCAATCCAAGCTGCAGCTGCATTTACCTCATAGAAATGCTTGTAACCTTCATCGGTCAGAGTCACACAGATACTGAAGACTGAATATGTGGAATTCTGCTCAAATCCTGTCTCACCATTTCCTCCATATAATGCAAGTGCCCAGAATCTGACAGAAATGATAACACGTCTTACAAACATAACAACCAGCTGACATTGGAAGTATTTACACAAATTCCCAATATACTGTGTAAGATAAAATGGCCATTTACAACTATTCCAAAAGAAAGTGTATCTGGCCACAGCCACACATGCCTTCGTAATACCCACATTGGAGTACTATAATGTACTCTACATGGGGTTGCCCTCAAAAACAATCCAGAAAGCTACACTGGTAGAAAACACAGCACAGAAAATGTTGACCAAGGTTTACTATATTTATTTATTCAATTTATACCCCGCCCTCCCCGCGGGGGTATACCATAAGACATATATAAAGCCAATTCCTATACCAACTACACTGGCTTGGTTTTTACCTTTATAACATAAGTAGATTAGGTCTTGGGTATCTAAAAGACCATCACTGCCCATTCAACCTGCCAAAGTTTTGCTGAATGAGGCCTGCTGAGGGAACTCTTATCGCTAAGAACTGGCTGGTAGAGATCAAAGGGAAAGCTATTCCAACTGCTGCCCCTAGATTGTGGAACACCTTCCCTCTGGAGATAAGTCTGCACCTTTATTGCAGGCTTTTCAGAGCTGATTCAAGGCATTATTCTAGGTGGCCTTTGTATGAATGGACTGGATATACAGATATTCTTGTTTTACCTAAATCTTCTTATGTGTTCTGCTGTTTTAAATTCTTACAATGTTTTAAACACTTATTGGGTTTTATGCTTCTCTATTTAGCTGCCTTGATTGTCGCTTATAAGACAAAAGAGGCACATAAACAAATAAAGATACACATGGTCTTTGGAAGCACAAGTAAAATACCCTAGAAATTGAAACCCAAATAAGTGGCAAGCACCAATTAGTCTAGCCCCAATTAGTACAATTTGTGCAAAGTAGAAGCTTGGATCCTGCCTAAAATTCCCATGGACTGAAGGATATCTCACCATGTAAGTATGACACACGCACCCCTGTTGCAGCACAAAATTCCCACCACCAAATGCTGCTAATGTAAGGACAGAAGACATCCTAGAATAGCTGGGGGAGTCGTGGAAGTCCATGACAGGGGGGAGTCAGAGATCAACTGTGGAAAGAGGGAAATGGTGTCACCCCCACCCCCCCATGCATAGAAAGTTTAGGCAGCATCTAACTTAGCATCTCCTTCCAATGAACTGGATATTTCCAGGTCTGCCCTTGGTCGACCCCTTCTCTTCACAGGATGGAACATAATATTTTTTAAAAGTGCCTACCCAGAATGCATGGCAATGATACTCACTGGGATTTATCCAGATTACTTTTAACATTTTCTTTAAACATTAAATCAAAGGATAAATAAAGTAGCAGCACCTTTCAATTATTTGGTTTCTGTTTGCTGCCCAGTGCGTGGGTTGGTGAAATAGCATTAAGTATTGCCATTCCATTAAAAAAATTTACTACCATCCAGTCACTTTTGCATATTTAACAAATGGATATCTATATATCTAATAGTGAAGTGGCCCCATCTGTAGACTGGGGCCACACCAACACGAAAGAGTTTTCTGCAAATGTGGGGGATAGCGGGAGGGAGATGGGATCCCCTCCATGAGTCTTATGGGCCCACATTTGTTAGTATATAATTTCAAACTAATACTGTTCTCCAAATTCACAATATTCCATAACTGAGTTTCTTTAACATGCTGCCAAACCTTATACATGTTTGCTCAGAAGTAAATACAATTGAGTTCAGTGTAGGAGTGTGCAAAAAACAACAAAAGTATTCTTCGAGTTCAGGTAAATTAAATCCCAGAAATATTGGTATTTCCCAATATTCCCAAATCCCAATACCAGTAAGGTATTCAGATTTGGTAGATATTCAGGAATACGGAATTGTTTCAGCTTCATTATGCCCTATGGGGACCATTATAGTCAATGGTCCCCATAAGTACAATGGAGAATTGATCTGGGGGTATCTGGGGCTCGGGAGAGGGCTGTTTTTGAGGTAGAGGCACCAACTTTGCGGCATTGCTACTGGTGCCTCTTCTCAAAAGAAACCCCAAGTTTCAAAAAGATTGGACCAGTGGTCAGATTGTGGTCCCTTTAAATTCCTTCTCCAAGCCACAACTCCACGAGTGAACTCCAAAGAAGTTTAAAGGGCTCGCTGTCCCTTTAAAAACCTTCTCCAAGCATTGCATTCAGAAGAAGAGACTGGATTTACACCCTGCCCTTCACTACCTGAAGGTGTCTCAGAGCGATTTACAATCTCCTTTCCCTTCCCCTCCCCACAACAGAAACCCTGTGAGGTAGGTGGGGCTGAGAGAGCTCTTTCGAGAACTGCTCTGTCCAGAACAGCCGTGAGAGAACCGTGAGAGACTGACCCAAGCACACCAGCAGCTGAATGTGCAGGAGTGGAGAATCAAACCCGGTTCTCCCAGATTAGAGTCTGCGCTCCTAACCACTACACCAAACTGGCTCTTCACCCACAAGGCATTTAAAGGGACTATCTGAAGGTCCCAAAAAATCCTGAATATTTTTGGGATTTTCAGGCTTGGCCATTTCGGATAGCCAAAATTCAGCCCCAATCTATATCTGGCTGAAAGAATATCCAAAAAATACCAACAACATATTTTTTGATATTTTTCTCAGCTCAGGTTTAGTCGAATGCACACCCCTAGTTCAATGGTATTTACTCCCAAATAAGCATGCATTAGATTGCAGGCGCAGTCACAAACAAAGCTAATTTTTTTTGGCACTGCACAAGCCACGTGGAACCAAATACAGCTCTTAAACTGAGCAATTATTATTATTAATTCTTTCATTCTTTGACATTAATTTGCACTGTCAGAGCACATACTTTTTTCTAAGAAATGAAAGAACACTGCCTTTGCCTTCATGTCCAACCAGCCAGGAAATATAATGAAGTGGCTTTACTCTAGAAAAGAAAAGAGGTGATTAGACCACTGCTTGACAATCACAGCTATTACGGTAATAAAAAAGTAAAATGGGAATATCCAGAGTTCTGGGATTTGGCGAGCAGCAGATTACAAACAAGACCTCATCTACATCAAGTAGTATTTTTAGAACAGTCAACTAGAAAGAGAGATCAACTAAAATATAGATCATTTATACACAAAAAATACAACCGCACAAATGAAAGTGATCACTGTGATTACCAGCCAGTTTATTCTATTGCAGCATTTAATCTGAACTTAATTCAATTTCATAGTGCTCTCATCAGGGTTTCACCATAAAGCGAGTTTAAAAGTTCACCTGTAATACTGATCTTGTGGAGGAAGGGCCCAAGTGATGTTCAAAGAGTGTGTCTTTCTGATTGGAACAACTGAGGGAATAGAAACACATTAGGTGTTAATTTAAAGCCATGATTATTCCTTGATACTCATCATAACAGCTCAAAAATAAAGTGTGTGGAAAAGGTCAAGTTCAAAATGTACTATTTGTTTCAGCACTGCAAGGAACTGCCTATCTTATACACTCACCTCTATAAAGTTTGTGAAAATCAGGTGTGTCAAAAGGCTCTGTCAGGTGGCTAAACACTGGTCTAGATAAATCACTTTAAATAGAAAAGAAAAAAGTCACATAGCATCACTGCAATCCAACAAAAGTGATTCACACAACAGATATATGGATCATACTTCTGGATGCTGTCCCCCATATCCAGCACCTGCCAATCACATGTTGGGAATAGAGGCACCCTTTCTGAAACCTGACAGGTGATCCATGTTGCCATCAAAGAAGATCCTTCTGTATAGCAGCATGGCTACAGCTGTTCTACCTTGCTCATTCAAAATCACCCAAACCTTGAACAAAAAACTGCTTTCTGCCCACACATCCTAGAAAAATGTACCTAAAAACGTACCTCTTCTAAATGATAATAAAGGGCTTCATCAATTTCACTAACCTTATCTTTTAAAAGAAACTCTAGAACAGAAACCCAGGGTTTCTGCACACTATTAGATATTAAAATGTTTTCAGGCACCATACTTGGCAAAACAAAATGGATCACAAACCATGATGCAAATAATGCAAAAAATGAACTGAAGTAAGAAATTGCTGCATTGAGAGACACATCTGATTGTTACAGGTATGGCTTGTTGCCATGCTCATACTCTCCCACTTGTATGCACAGAACAAAGGTTTCCTGGTTTTGGAAGCCTTCAGGCCAAACTCTGATATCTGAATGCAGGCACCTAGGCTGAAGGAGTGCATTCCTTCAATTCCAGTTTGTTGGGAAGAAAACTCTAGTCTGCCCAGGTGCCTGCATGCTGAATGTTTCTGCAACCAGGAAAACTTCAATCAGACTCAACTTATGGAGAGGGGAGGAGGAAGGGGGCACATAAGCATAACAACAAGCCAGGATTGTGCCCATGAGAAATAAGCCTATTCCTTTGTGATATCTGAATGCAGCTACTGTCCTTGGACCTCTGACAGTACACTGGAATTCCTACCATCTATGCAGATTGTTTTAATAATGTGAACACATACTAGTCTGTGTTGTTACACCACTTAGTAAAACTGTACATCCACATCATTAGGAACATCTGACAAGTACTAAAAACTGAAAGTATAACCAAGTATGGTGGAATGGCTATAGCGTTAGGGGAAACACTGAATACCTCAGTATCTCTTTTGAAGTCAACATGTTAATTAGGAGCCTTAACTTTTTAATATGAAAAAAAATGCAAAACACGTATTTTATTGTAATAGAGTACTTCCAAGGAATAAATTACATTATTTGACAGTGAAGTCTGACCCTGTGCCACAAAGATGGTGGGCATCCAAATTTATGGAGGGGGTCAGTCCCCAGGCAACATAAAGGCAGTCATATCCAAGACTATCACACAGCAACACATACTGCAGCTATGATAAAGTCTTGCTGTAACTACAATAAAGTTATGCTACACTATATCCACAATTGCCAGCTGCCTCCAAACTGAAGCACTCCCTCATTTTAACAATGAAAAACTACCAGTCATAACAGGCAGGCGGGAACTGTTTACAAATGTCAGTGAATAGCATGTTTCCTCCAACCTTTTGCAATAGCTTTCTTCCCTCTTCCCCCAAACCTCTGTGCCCTTCTGTATTAGTTGGGGAAACCCAACAATGCAACTTTTTTTCCTTATTCCACCCCTCACCACCACCACTGTTAACAGAATCTGGGAGAAAGACAGACAGAAAAGTAGCAATGGGGAAACATTCCAGCAAGGAAGCAGAGAAAACTAGGGATGAACCAAGGAGAATGAGAACCAATGCTCCCTCTGAGCTGTGGAGTCATGTGAGCAAAAATTCTACTTTGTGAGCTACTGGCATTAAAGTTGTGACTGAGCGATTTGGCTTCTTTATAAATTAGTTTGCTAATTTTTAAGTCATCCTTCCTGAGCTAAGACAAAAATGTGTGAGCCAGGGGCTAAAAAACTGTGAGGTAGCTCACACTAACTCAGCTTAGAGGGAACACTGATGAGAACAGGTTTGGGAAGCTGATTTCGTTGTGTGATCTGCATACAAAATGGTACATACATCTTATTACAAAAATTGTAGGAGAAGTATCTTACTTATTAGGGATTTCCGAGAAGATTTCTGTCACCCATTTTTCCAGAATATCCAAAGTTTCTAGCAAGGGAGGAAAAAGTTCAACAACCTGATGTAGCAAATTCTTAGAACAAGGGTAAGGTGAAGATGCTGCCTGCAGTCTAGTTATTTTGTGGGAGGAGAATACGTTGTTCAACTGGCTAAAGTGAAAACATTATCAAGCCTGTCGGCTCAATTCATGCAGCACACCCTCATTACACTTACACCCAAGACGGGGTCACATCCAGGGGTGTGGCTGTACCTGGCATGTTTTATGTTTCACATGAAACCACAGTTGCCATACAAGACCAACAGCCCTGTGACAGAAAGGAAAGGCAGGCAGGCAGGCAAAGACATGATGCAATCAGAAGACGAGGCTTGAATAGCCAAGTGTAAGTGACTGATGCATCTTAGTATTTTCCCGTATTTCCATGATGTTTTGTGCTTTCATGCCAATAAAGGTTGTGTGTGTGTGTGAAAGGAAAGGCAGGCAAGCAAAGACACCCTCACGAACCTGCTCCAGGAGCTGCTCCCACTTGCCCTTTCTACTTCTTTCCTCAGAAGGACTTTTTTGCTTGCCTGCTTGGATTTTGTTTCAGAAGATTTTATTTTGTTTTGAGTTCAATACTTTGAAACTATGTTTTTTCAGTCAATTCTCTCCCCTTACCCACATCCTTTCTCATAGGTTTATTAATGTTACAGCATGAATTTTTACACTGAAATTTGAAACTGAATTTCTAAACTGATATTTTAAGGGAGCTTTAGAATGGAATTTGGTGCACTGGCCAGAGAGCAGGATTCATTCCAATAAGTAAACAAAAATAACAATAGCATTTGCTACAAAAGTTTTCCAGCTTGTCGAAGTAAAATTAGTGAAATTAACAAAGCAAGTCTGCATCTTGTGACATTCCAGCAATTCCCTTATGGTAAGACTCTAAGCTCAGAAAACACCATAATTAGTTCAAAGAGGTTTTATGTCTCTTCATAATCCTCTTCAAGGGTAGGTGGGTAGGTAGGTAGAATTTTATGCCCTGTCACCTGGGTGCCGGTAGGCAGCCCCACCCCTGTATACTATGTGGCCTTAGTTAGGGAAAAATGTATTTGAAACTACCTGTAAACCGCTCAGACACCCTTCGGGGTCAGAGCGGTAAATAAATCGAATGTATAAAACAAACAAATAAATAAATAAATAAATAAAGGCTATTAACAATAGCTGCCCAAGCAGTAATAAATATTACAATAAAAACATAACAAGGTTAAAAACAATGTTAACATTGTCAGGACCAGGACATAATGTAGAATACAGCATGCTGAACACCAGGGCAAAAGTTCTGCATGAATCTTCTTGGCAGCCAATGCATACAGGTGACTATCATATAGCCTCCTAATGGAGCAGAATTGAGGACTTCTTTGCATGTACTAATTCCCCTGAGTTTAATTCTGCCCACCGCTAACCAGTTTTCTGTCCTGACTTCCAAACTGAGGCACCTTCAGTTAACATCAAAGCATCTGAATCAGGGAGTGAGTCAGCCTGCTTCAGTGCAGGAAGAGTGGGAAAGGAAGTGGTCAATATAACAGCACAGCTCTCCTGCCTGACAACTAGAACACTGGGAATTATTTTTGACATTGAACTTAACACTTTCAAAACTGGATTACCTCATTAGTGTAATGCTGGAAACTAACAACACTAGTGCCCTGCCACCTACACTCTTAACGTGGTACCACCACAGGCATGACATCTCTGTTGATGTTCCCACCGAGCGGTGGTGCCAAAAGGCCCCTAAGCCTTCAGCCACCAGCAGAGTCAACAGCTTGTACCAATTAGTCTTTCAGCCTTATCAGATTTGTTTGGATATCCTATTGGATGATAAAACTCCCCTCTTGAATTCCACATTTTGTGCAGTGCAGCATCTAAAAGCCCTGTTGAATACCCCAAATCTCCCCATCAATCTGAAGCTAACTGAGACTCTTAACTGCTCCTATAGGGCAATCAAATTATTGTTAATGTTTGGTTGTTCAAACAAAATTCAAACATTCTGAGTATGCAACAAAAAAAACCCCTGAATTTTAAGGGAATCTTTCCATCCAGAATCTTGAATAATGTATCACACTCCCCCCTCTTTAGTCCAGGGACATCATGCCCCAGAACTGACATTGAGACCAATGGCAGGAAACATGACTCAATTAGAGTCCAGATAGTGATCTGATTAGCTGGGATGACCCTCCTGCTAATATGGAGACCAAGACAGGGTACATCTCAACTAGCATTCAGAATCTCTCTACTGAGGCAGACCTAATCAACTGTTTCAAAGCTCTTCCAGATAATGAGTGAAAGTCCATCACTGACAGGCTGGAGCAGCTGAGGACCAGGGTCTTAGGTACGAAGGACAGCACCCTTGCCCCCATTTCCTCCCATTTCTCCCTTAATTGTAGTTAGTGCAGAGATGGCCCCAAGTAACCCCCCTACTGTCCATGCTTCCCCAGGAATTTTTAGTCCCTCAGAAGCTATTTCTACAGAAGGTGGATCAATTCCACACAATGAATATGTTTTCACCCAGACCTTTGGCAAACTCTCAGTCCCTGAAAAAGGGTGCTTTAATAGTTTTTAGAGGGCCACAAGCTGGGTACAACAGGGCCCCATCCAATGGGCCCAACCAGCAAGACTTCTACTTTAGCCCCAGTGCCCTCACTCAAAATGGATCCATTCAAGTGGACCCCAGTGGAGAACTGAATAGAATCAAGAGGCTAGACTGACTACTACACCTCTCCTTGAACCTTATGGGATGGGGGAATAAATGCCACGATTGAAACTTCTTTCTATTTCTGCAAAAATGTGACATAATACATTTGCAGGAAACTTGGTCCCAGGAGATTACAGCCCCCTATTTCTACAGGGCTCCCAAGCATTTGCTGTCCCTGCCATTAAAACCCACACTAAAGGTTGTGCTAGTGGGGGGGGGTCTAGTAATCTTTGTCTCAGTTGACCTCAAGGCTGACATCCAGGTCTGAAGAGTGGCACCCAGAATCACATCCAGGTGCTAGAGATTAGAGGCAAACACATTGGATCTCTTCTCTGTGTGAACAGATATATTTCACCTAGAAGTTCTACGTATTCAAGCATAGATGCTATCTGGGATAACCTGTCCACCACCTTGGATGCTCTAGATGCCCAGTTCCCCAACTCCCATATTCCCCTATGCGGTGACCTCAATGCAAGGACTGGTGCCAGTTCTTCTGGTACCTCAAAGTGTATAAACAACCAAGCCCCTAAGCAAGCATGTTTTTAGCTATGTTATCTCAGGCCCAGCTCCTGAACAGGTTGGGTTTGAGATTTCTAAAAATACTATCCTCCCATCATCTACAATGGCTCCATGCAACCATATATGACTCCTTTCATGGCACTTATACATACTTGTCCACCCAGGGTGCCAGCACAATAGATTACATCTTCGTCTCATCATTGCTTTTACAATACACCCATGATTTTGAGGAAGGCAATAGGGCTGGAAGTGATCACTATCCCTTGAGGGTGTCACTTGGCTACTCAGTTGCAATATTTCTTAACAGATTGCAGGACCTTCCTGAAAGGTTCAACAGGGAGCAAGAAGAATCACGTGGTCTGTTCACCTGCATTCTAACACAGCACACATTCTGGAACACTGTGTTTTTCAATGTTTGTGCCAAGAAACACTGAGGGATGGCTTGGATATCCTGGAACTCTTTGAGGAAATTGTTCGCCAGTTCAGACCCTTCCTCTCCAGCGATAGACATTTACAATCCAAAACCCATCCTTCTGCAGGCTGGTTTAACCTGGAGTGTGTTGTTGTTATTCAGCCGCACAGTCGAGTCCGATTCTTCACGACTCCATGGACTACATCACGCTAGGCCCTCCTGTCTTCCATTGTGCTTGGAGTGTAAAGCAGTCCAGTCCAATGTACCAAAATTTCAATTAGACCAATTAGGACTGAGTAAGGATGTTAAGTAACATAGTTAATGAAACTTTATGCAAATGACTGAAACCAAACAGAAGGCTCTACTTGAAAGGTTACTGGATTTCAAATGTCCCTTCAGGGAAAACCTCATTCTCTAAAGGGAACACCTGCCTCATTGAGATTAACTACAAACAAAACAAAAATATAATTACGCAAATGAAAGAATGGAGAGCTTTTAGCCAGATAATCCAAATACTTATTGATTAAAATAACGCTGCCATTTTGTACTGTACAAGACAATGAAGGAGAACTTCTGCAATTCGCACCCATGTCAAGCACCACCCAAACATCAATTCACTGTATCACAACACACATCTACAATAGAAACCGAAGAGAAATTACCTTTGGACTGCACAACTAAAGTCATATAGTGAGCAGAGTAATAGCGCTGCCAGAATTCCCTCAGCCTGGTGTAGGTATCAATGCCATTTTGCTTGGGGTTATGTTTAAGAGTGTCTGCATTACCTACAAATGTTAAAAATTAAAGTTGTATAAACTACTGAAAAATTGTATGTGTTGAAAATAATATACAAGCATTTTGTCCATGAGGTCAGCTGAGCAAGACCTCTCCCCACTGTCTCATACCCCTCCTGATGCCAATCCAATCCCCCCTTCTAAGCCTCCATCTGCCAGGAACATAATTTTAGAGAGAAAGAGGTCTCCCCCATCATCTCACTTGCTTGCTTTGTTCTTTCCTTCCTCTCTACCTGCAGCCTGAAAAAAACTGCACAGAGCACCACCACACAGCAGCAGGATTGCAGGAGCAGTCCAAGAGGAATAGTTTGGGAAGGAACAGGAACAATCCCCTCGTACTAACACTCAAGAGTTACCTGTTTGCTTTGTATGATACTAAACTAGTCACCTCTCTCTTGGCATTCTTTTCCACATTAATTTGCTAGACATATTTTTCTCTACCCCTACTCTAAAAAGCCTAAGCAGACCTGTATAATGATGTAAAATAATTTTCTGAACTACTATTGAAAGAAACCCAAATCTATGGAAACTGTTCTATGATCCCACCTTTGTGAGCTCACAAGCAACATTTTTTCTTGTACAAAATGGAATCTTGGGGACATTATAATCTATATATCTAATATCTAAATCCGCGCTCCGGGGCCACCTGGGGGGCAGGGAGAGGTTTGTGCACACGTGGGGTGGTCCCCACGTGTGCACAAAAATCTTAAAGTGTGTAAAAATTGTGTGGGGGGCCTTAATTTGACAAAAGTAAAAAAGAGCGTTCCCTGCACATGCGCAGGGAACGCTCTTGGAACGAGGGCTGGAGTTTGCCGCCGCCCCGGCCGCGAGGCCCAGCCGGCTGCAAGCCGCTGGCTCTCACTTGGGGGGGAGGCAGCCGGCCTCGCCGCTGCCGCCTCCGCCGCGGACCCAGCCGGCCTAGCCCTCGCTTGGTGGGGGGGAGCAGCGAGACCCGGTGGCTACAAGCCGCCCGGGGCTCGCTTTGGAGCGGGGGGACAGAGCGGGACTTTTCTCTTGTATAATATAATGTATAAAACTACATGAATATGAGATATGCTAGGTCATGACTTTCAACACCACTCAACAGACAGATTGAGATATAAACTGACAACATAGATACTTTGGAAAATTATTTATCCAACTTTTTAAACAAGCTCTTGCATTAGTGATAACTGTCACAAATTTCACATTTAATATTTTAAACATATCACTTAAATATATGACATATTATGACACAACGTACCCCAGAAGAACTTCTTCATAGGATGGCCAGTCTTGGCAAGACTTCCAAACAACATTTCTCTTCGGTTTGTATCAGAGGGCCTTGCAAGCTGATATTCTGTTTCATTGGGGGGGGGGGGGAAGAAAGGGTTCAGATTGAAATTATGTTGAACTTCAAAACCAGCCTTGACCAGTAACATACCAAGGCATGCACATGGATTTATATCCTTGCTCAAAGCAGGAAGAAAGGATCAAAAAGATTAATATCAAACTGCCTAACCAAGCTCATGTGCAAGGCTCTTGTGTGTACTTTTTCCTCCAGAAAGACTCAGTATATACAGTAAAGGGCCCTGATACAAGGAAACTTATGTGCACTGATGAATGTTTAATGAATAAAACATCAGTATGATTAATCTTGACTACCTATAGTTGCTTGTGTGCATAGACCAGGAGTGGCCAAACTGTGGCTCGGGGGCCACATGCAGCTCTTTCACACATATTGGGCAGCTCCTGGCAGGGGGGCTGGGGAAGCAAAGGGGAGGCATGCCTCTCCAATTAGTCTTCCCTTCCCCAGCCAGTGTTCCCCTCCCTGGGTAGGCTTGCGGGGGGGGGGGGGGCGAAGACCCTCCCTGGGTAGGCTTGCGGGGGGGGGGGGAGCAGAGAAAGAAAGCAACTTAAACTATAAACATATTCTCAAAGCCCCACCCCCACCCCGCACCAGCCAGCTTGGAGAAGGTATTTGTCTCTTTAAATCTCTTCTCCAAGCCAGCCAGCGTGGGGGGCTCAAAGGACACATTTAAAGTTGTTTTCTTTCCACCTCTCCTCCCCTCCCCCATCTATTTGCTTTCTTTCCACTTTCTTTCTTTCCACCTTTCTTTCTATCATTCTCCCCTCCCTCCAAGCCCTGCCACATTGTAAAACTGGCTTGGCTCGGAGAAGGCATTTGTCTCTTTAATTTAATTTAATATGCAAATTTGCATATTTTTAAAAACGTGCATGTTCATGTCTTGTGGCTCTCAAACATCTGACGTTTATTCTATGTGGCTCTTACATTAAGCAAGTTTGGCCACCCCTGGCATAGACCTAACCCAGCACCAGTTACAGGACAAGTAGCCCCTAACTGCCCAATTTAGGTGTTACTCTATGCAATGGGACTTAATCCCTATTCAGTCTGTTTCAGCATTCCAGTCCATTTTTATCCCAGAAGCATGCACAGGGTCCAGCCCAGGGAACAAGCTGAGAGCAGAAGACAATTTGCGGATAGAAACTACCCTTGCTGGATCAGGATGCAGGTCTTCACAACATCCACAAAGGGAAGAGATAAGATTTTTTTTCTTTATGACATTCCTGAAAGATCCAAATAATAACTGCTAAACCTTAATCCTTTAATACACACACAGGACATCATACATTAGGAATACACAGGAATACAAAATAGAACTAAACAAGATTATAAAGGAATCACCCCTGCACATTCAGGAACAAATCCTTTCAGACACACCAAAGGAACCTCAACCAGGTAACTTTTATCTTCTACCCAAAATACACAAACCTGGCAACCCAGGACACCCCATTGTCTCAGGCATAGGCACATGTATCACCACAGGGGTATCTGGATATATGGATTCTGTTCTAGGACCCTATGCCATCAATGCTCCTAGTTATGTTCACAACACCACAGACTTTCTAAGGAAAATATAATCTTTGAACAACCTTCCAGAGAATACTACTTTATTTTTGTTTGTTTGTTTAACATCTATATGCGCCCCCTCGCCCAGATTGCCCGGAGACATGGGCTGGGTTGTCATCAATATGCTGACGATACCCAGCTCTATCTGTTGTTGGACAGCCAGCCAGACTCTAGTCCAGGAGATCTGGACCAGGCGTTGAAAGTCGTGGCTGGTTGGCTTAGACAGAGCTGACTGAAATTGAATCCGATGAAGACGGAGGTCCTGTGCCTGAGTCGGAGCGGTCCAAGGTTAGGGATCCCTCTCCCGACCTTCGATGGGGCGCCGTTGGTGCCAGCACCGAAGGTTAGGAGTGCTCCTGGACACCTCCCTAACAATGGAGGCCAAGGTAGCAGCCACTGCAAAGTTGGCCATTTATCATCTATGGCTGATTAGGCAGTTGGTTCCCTTCCTTGAATGCAATGACCTAGCAACGGTGATCCACGCATTGGTCACCTCAAGATTGGATTACTGCAATGCTCTCTACATGGGGCTGCCCTTGTCTCAAATCCAGAAGCTGCAGCTGGTGCAGAATGCAGCGGTGAGGCTGTTGTGTCTTCCAATGCGGGAACACATCCAGCCTGCCCTAAAAACCCTGCACTGGCTGCCTATAGCATACCAGATACGGTTCAAGGTGCTGGTTCTTACCTTTAAAGCCCTTTATGGCCAGAGACCTACTTACCTAAAGGACCACCTTTCCCTGCACGTACCCCAGCGAGTACTGAGATCGGGTTCCCAAAATTGCCTGGCTCTTACGGGGCCTAAAGAGGACAGGTTGGTTACAATGAGGGCCAAGGCCTTTTCTGTGGCGGCCCCTCACTGGTGGAACAAGTTCTCAGGGGACATCAGGGTGCTGCGGAACCTCTTACAGTTCTGCAGGGCCTGTAAAACAGAGCTCTTCCGCCAGGCTTTTAAATAGGGAGCCTGACTACCAACTGTACCAATAATTCCAACAGTGCCACCAATCTGAGGCTTCATAGCCGGGCGGGAGCCCGTTAACACCATTCAGCTGACAGTTGATATTAGAAGACTGCCATCTTTTATTGTAAGTTATGTTTATATAGTATGATTTTATACTGATTAACAGTTTTAATTGGAATTTTAATGTACACTTACTGATGTTGTTAGCCGCCCTGAACCTACCAAATGGTGGGGAGGGTGGGATATAAATAAATAAAATTTATTGCATTTGTATCCCGCCCTCCCCACGAACAGGCTCAGGGCGGCTTACATTGAGCGGTAGAGTGTACCAAATCCACATAAAATATTTAAAACATTTTTAAAACAATCATACAATTAAAGTGCTCGCAGTAATAGTCATTCCTTCATTACGTTAAGGTGGCATGCTTTAGATGTAACACCAAAGTTCCCAACTCAGCGATCTTCCTGTCTCCCACGACGGTGTGGCTTGATCTCCAAGCTGGGGCCGGCCCTTTACCGCAGATGTTAATAATAGTGGTAGTTGGTTGTAGTGGTGGGCGGCTCCTAGTTGAAAGCCTGGTGGAAGACCTCCGTCTTGCAGGCCCTGCAGAACTGTAAAAGGTCCCACAGGGCCCTGATCTCCTCCGGGTGCTCATTCCACCAGTGAGGAGCCGCCACTGAAAAGGCCCTGGCCCTATTAACATCAAACCTGGCATCCTTAGGGCCTGGAATGATTAGTCGATGTTGTGACCCCAACCGTAGTGCTCTCTGTGGTATGCATGGGGAAAGGTAGTCCCACAGGTACGTCAGACCCTGGCTTTAAAGGTAAGTATCAGCACCTTGAAGCGAATTCGGTATGCTATTGGCAGCCAGTGCAGTGACTTTAGCGCAGGCCGGATGTGCTCCCATTGAGGGAGACCCATCAAAAGCCTGGCTGTGGCGTTCTACACTAGCTGCAGCTTCCAGATTTGGGACAAGGGCAGCCCCATGTAGAGAGCGTTACAGTAGTCTAATCTCAAGGTGATCATCGCATGGATCACTGTAGCCAGATCATCACAATCGAGGAAGGGAACCAACTGCTGAATCAGCCGAAGATGGTAAAAGGCCGACTTACTAGTGGCTGCTACCTGGGCCTCCATTGTTAAGAAGGAATCCAGGAGCACTCCCAAACTCCTAACCTCCAGCGCTGGCACTAACGGTGCCCTATCAAAGGTCGGGAGCAGGATCCCCATCCTCAAACTGCCCCAACTCAGGCACCTTTGCTGGATTTAGCTTCAGCCTACTCAGTCTGAGCCAACCAGCCTTGGCTTGCAATGCCCGGTCCAGATCTTCCAGTCTGGAGTCTGACTGGCCGCCCAACATCAGATAGAGCTGGGTGTCATCAGCGTACTGGTGACAATCCAGCCCATACCTCCGAGCAATCTGGGCAAGGGGGTGCACATAGATGTTAAATAACATCAGGGAAAGCACCGCCCCCTGAGGCACTCCGCACTCAAGTGGGTGTCTCCTGGACTGCTGTTCCCCGAGCACCACCCTTTGTCCCCGACCCTGGAGAAAGGAAGCAAGCCATTGCAAGGCAAGCCCCTGTATCCCCACGTCGGTGAGGCGGTGGGTCAGCAACCAATGGTCGACCGTGTCGAACGCAGCCGACAGGTCCAACAGCATCAGTACCGCCGAGCCACCCCGATCCAGATGCCTCCAGAGGTCGTCATTAAGAGCTACCAGTGCTGTCTCCGTCCTGTGTCCCGGGCGAAAGCCGGACTGGAAGGGATCTAATACAGAAGTGTCATCCAGAAAGCCCTGCAACTGTATTGCCATCGCCCTCTCAATAAATTTGCCCAGACAGGGCAAATTGGAAATTGGCCGATAGTTGGCCAATTCGGCCAGATCCAGAGATGTTTTTTTCAGGAGAGGGCAGACCATTGCTTCCTTGAGCGTCCCCGGGAACTGCCCCTTAGAGAGGGACTTGTTGATAATCTCCCTTAGGGCAGCTCGAAACCCCTCATGACCCACTTTAATGAGCCAGGAAGGGCACGGATCAAGGCTGCATGTGGTTAGGCGTACAGCCGCGAGCAATCTGTTCACTTTCTCCAGGCAGATCAGGCTGAAATAGTCCAAAGCCGGAGTCAAAGACGCGCAAGGGGTCTCGAGTTCACTCACTGTTTCAACTGTGGCAGGGAGATCACGGCGAAGCGCCAAGACTTTATCCACGAAATAGCTCGCAAATGCCTCACATCCAATATCCAATTCCCTAGTGTTTGTTCTGCCCTGTGGCAGAGCTGTTATAGACCGAATCATTCTAAACAATTGGGCTGGGTGTGAGCTCGCAGACGCAATTATAGCCGCATGGAACTCTCTCATAGCAGCTTTGACTGCCATCTCATAGGATCTCATAAACGTCCTATAAGATGCTCTTGTAGCTTCGTCTCGAGCACGGCACAACCGTCTCTAGCCATCTCAGCTCTCACTTCATAAGCCGCAACTCCTGGGTAAACCAGGGAGCAAGCCTAGAGCGAGGGCGCAGAGGGCGCCGGGGAGCGATCTCATCGATGGCCGCAAAGAACCAACTGTGCCAGTCATCAAGCTCATTCAACAAGCCGCCAGGGGGCATCAGATCCCACAGGGCCATTTGGAGCTGCACTGGGTCCATTTGGCTCCGTGGGCGAGCTAAAATATGCTCGCTGCCTAAACAGGGCTGGGGTGGAACATTCAGATGGGCCCTCAGGGCATGGTGGTCTGACCATGGTACTGCCAAAGCAGTAATCTGGTCCACTGTTACCCCAGCCGCGAAGATCAAATCGAGCGTGTGCCCGGCCCGGTGAGTGGGGGTCGTTATAAATTGGGAGAGTCCCAGCACCGCCATGGACGACACTAGGTCCGCTGCCTGAATGGAAGCTGCGTCATCGGCATGGACATTGAAGTCACCCAGGACTTTTAGCCTAGGGTGTTCCAGCGCCCAGCCTGATACAGCCTCCATCAGGGACAGCTCGCTATTGGCCGGTGCGTTAGGCAGTCGGTACACCAGCCAAATCGCCACACTTTCCCCAGCCTCCCACACCAGGCCGACACACTCGATGCCCGTGATCTCCAATGACAGGAGCACCCTGAAGGAGTAAACCTCCCGAATGAAAATAGCCACTCCTCCCCCCGCCCCCTAGTCCATGATTGGTGTAGGACCAAGAACCCAGGAGGGGCAAGCTGGGAGAGAGCAACGGTCTCCCTGTCACGCACACCAGGTCTACCTTCTGTACCAACAGGAAGTCCCGAAGGACCATGGTCTTATTATTTATAGACCTAGCGTTGCACAGCACCAATGTCGTAGGGGGGTTATCCATCCTAGCCCCACTGCCGACAACCTTCGGGATGGGTCGCAGGCTGGAAGCCACCATGGATGTAGAATCTCTATATACCAACATCACACACAAAGATGGATTACAAGCCATAAGAAATATGATTTCTGACAGCACCACAGCTGACTTTGCCACCAAACTGTGCCATTTTGTTTTCACCCATAACCACTTCAGATCTGGTTACAACTTGTTCCTTCAGATCAATGGTGCAGCCATGGGCACTCGTATGGCCCCACAGTATGCTAACATCTTTATGGCTGACTTGGAGTAGTGCTTCCTAAACTCCCACCCACTCATACTTCTCTTATACCTGTGATACATTGATGACATTTTTATTGTCTGGACATATGGTAAAGAAGCCCTGGACATATTCCACCAGGCATTCAATGACTTTCACCCCACCATCAACCTGACAATGAACCAATCTATGTAAGAAATACATTTTCTGGACACCAGAAATCTACTGACCAACATACCTACGTGCCTCCAGCTACCATCCTAAACATACCAAACAATCCACTGCATACAGACAGGCTCTATGCTACAGCCGCATCTGCTCCAATCCTACAGACAAGACATTCTCACATGAGGGATCTACAACAAAACTTTTTGGAAGTAAAGTATCCACCTGATGAAGTCAAGAAACAGACTAACAAAGTCAGAAAGGTTCCCAGAGAAAACCTGTTGCAAAACAGGCCCAAGAGAAACAATAACAGACCACCACTAGTGTTCACATACAGCTCTCAACTCAAAACATTTCAACACAACATCAGCAACTTACAACCTCTACTGGATAATGACAGTTCTCTTTCACAAGTACTGGGGGAGCAAATCTTTTCTTGTGCACAGACAGCCCACCAATTTCAAACATCTCCTCACCCTACAATAATACAACATTTAATTTGAACATGGACACTGGTACCAGAGCTTGCAGTAAACCCAGATGCCAACTTTGCTGCCACATACATCCAGACAACACAATCACTGGACCTAACAACATCAACTGCACCATCTCAGGCTTATTTACATGCTCATCTTCTAATACTGTATATGCCATTAAATGCCAACAATGCCCTTCAGTTCCCTACACAGGGCAAACAGGTCAAACCCTATGCCAAAGGATAAATGGACACAAATCTGACATCAAGAATCAAAAGATGGAGAAACCTGTAGGAGAACACTTCAACCTTCCAGGACATTCAATGGGTGACCTCAAAGTAGCTGTTTTATTGCAAAGGAACTTCAGAAACAGACTAGAAAGGGAAATTGCTGAGTTGCAAGTTACTACAACATTCAGAACAATGGAATCCCCAGGGCTTAAAATGGATATTGGTTTCTTATCTCACTACATACCTATATGTATGGACTGGTAATTTCCATTTCATTGTATCTGAAGAAGTGTGTGTGCACACAAAAGCTTATACCTTGAATAAAACTCTGTTGGTCTTAAAGGTGCCACTGGACTCAAACTTTGTTCTCCTTCTTCAGATCAACACAGCTACCCACCTGAATCTAACACCAACTCTTGTCCCTTTTTGGTTGATGTAATGGGGTTCAATTTAACATGTTCTCTACTAGAAGGGCAGTTTCACTGATGGAGGAGGGGAGCAATTGTTATCAACTCCCCCTCCTGCAGCAGACCCCCAAACCACACACAGTGCTCAGTGTCCCCCCAGATACTGTGCTTAAGGAATCCAGTGGGAAGCAAGAAAGCTCTATATACAAGCAATATACAATGGATACAACCCATTGAATTTTTCTTCATTATACATAACAGGCGTCTTTTTGACACTCCAAAGCAGGGGAGTCAATACATAAGGCCTGAGGGCCAGAACCAGCTCATCCAGGGCTCTTATGTGGCCTGCAAGCAACTGGTGCAAGGGAGGGAGTGTTGGGGAGGAGTGGGTGGAGCCACTCCACTGTGGTTTCAGCATGGCAGAACAACTTCATCTGCAGCAGTAAAGCATCATGGGAGCATCTGCCCAGCACTGCGCTGCTGCCTCTCCTGTCTGCCTATGTGGGTTTTCCTCTGCACCCCCCACCCAGCCCATGGGGCCTTGCAGTGAGGATACACCAACTCAGAGCTTACCAGCTGCTGTCCTTTATACAGTTTGTATCTCAGGTACCTGGCATTACATTTAAGGCACACATGGCCTGGCCTGACAAAGTGATATTTATGTCAGATCTGGCCCTTGTAACAAATGAGTTTCACAGCTCTGCTCCAAAGGATGTGTGATGAAAAACTGCTTATTAAAACTTAATTCCCATGTAGTTTCTTCAAACACAGACACTTTAGAAAAGTGTTAATAATTAAAGTTACTTTAAAACCATATATTGACTGTATTGCTTCATTACAGGATATTACCAATACTTTTAGACCAAGCAAAGAATATTTCTTTAGAAAACCTAATCATAAAATAACAAAAAGAGACAGAATTCTTACCACTGTCCACAGCCTCAACTTCCCGGTCAATTGCATCCTGAATCATTAAAGGGTGAATAAAAAATTGTGCCCACCTGAAATAGAAAAGTGCTGTAAATAATTTTTTTCTACCAAGTGTCTTGCTTTTACAGAAAAATGCACAAGTATTTAAGAGATTAACAGTAAAATCCTATGCAGACTTGGTCTAGTCTAAGCCTTTTGGTTTTAATTGCTTCAGGAAGCACTCCTAAACACATCTACTCAGAAGTAAGTCCCATTTTATTCAATGGGCTTATTCTCAGAAAATCGTTCTCATTCTTGCAGCCTTAGACTGGAGTAACTGTATAGGTGTGCACTGTATACTCTTTCCTATATCCTATATGAAATATAAAAATAGCTTCATTACATTACGTTCCAGCATCGCTAATGTTAAAACTTTTGCTTACTTCCTCTGTAATTTTTAAAAAAATCAACAGGCATATATTCTGATAAATGTTCCCTATGGAAATACAGATAGCTCTCAAGAATGGCCTTGTTTTAGATTTCTCCTTCAATTAAGCACACTTTTACTAGCTCTATTCACAACTGTAAAATTAAATCACACCTTGGCTGTGATGCAAAGAACTTTGGTAAAATGACAGCAATTCTGCTCATGTCAGGGGAAAGGGAGTTGCTGATTTCCATGGATTTCCCCCTCCACTGCAGTCCCACATGCCACACTGCCCCCTGTACAAGAAGCCCACTGGAGGCTCAGCAGCTCTAGCAGAAATGAGGTGGGAAAGATCCACTACCTGAATGGATTTTGCTTGTGCTTCTCTAGATCAAACCCATCAATACCTGTAGCATTAACTGGTCAGGCTAAATACAACCCTTTCTTCTGAGTTTATAAGTGAAATAAACAGAAGGTCCCATGTTCAAAAAAGGCCATAAACACCAAAATGTTTACAATCACTTTATCAACAATTACTTAAGAGATTAAAAGAACTAATACAGTAGTAATGGCTTAACAATATGAAACACAGTATTATCTCCACAATAAAACCCACTTATGATGCAGCATCCTCGTGCTACCTGTCAAGGGCTTCCTTGAAATACTTCCTCTGTACATCAAACTGGAAGACTGTCCGCTCACAATCTGTTGAGGCATTATCACTGCCCCCGTGCTTCTTCAGAAATGCATCAAACCCATTCTCATCCGGATATTTTGAGCTGCCCATAAAAACCACTATGGGAAAAAAATTGACATTAAGGAGACAGCTGTTAGTTGTAAGTGCAAAAAGATATAAATGCCACAGGAATGTGTACCAATTAGTACATACGCACTATAACTTTATCCAATATAGAGCTTTTTTCACCACAAGGCACAGAGAACATGTAAAACCAAAGTCTGCTTGGACAACTGAATTGTTCTTAAAAGATGTAAAATATTATTTATTTATTTATTTATTTATTTGGATTTATATTTAGGCACCAGAACAGCAAATTAAAACTATAGTTTCCTGTGCTTCAACACTGACTCAGCTAACATGGGGATTTCTTAGGCCAGCAAGGCAGAATGAAAAGTGGACAGTGTATAGGTTGCTATATTCAAAGAAAAATCACAAGTGTACAGATCGCTTGAGAGTTAATATTTTGCCCCATGCTTTCTAATGTATAAAAAATGACAGCCATTATCAGAAAATAATAGAAAAGTGATTTTGGAATACTCTGTGTAAACATAATGAAAAAAGCACATACCCAATTTCAAAAATGTTTCGAGGGTATAACACAAAGAAGCATAAAGGGAATACATACATGCACACTTTGGCAAGCTACATTATCAAATTCAGTAGAGTTAAAGGGACTGAGTGGGGACTTCCCAGCCTCTGTTGTTTCTTTAAAAAAATTAATTTATCCATCACTATTCTACAAATTTGCCATTTTTGTTTTCTAAATACTGAAGTAGCAAAACAAATCTGAATTCTGATTATTGAATTTTTGCATTTAAAACTATAGAGGAAAAAACCTATAGAACATCAACTATTGCTAAAGATGACATTTAAGCAAAAACATACTATGTTCCAGAAAATGTGCCAACCCAGGCAGATCTTCAGGGTCGCAGAAACTGCCAACGCCTACACAAAGTGCAGCTGCAGACTAGAAGAAGAAGAAAGAACACAGAATATTTAGGAAAAATGTTACCATCTTATGCACAAAACTACCAAATTCCTCATTAGAATATTCTGTATGTGTTCCTTAAAGTGATACATCCATGAGAACCAGTGCTGCTTAGCTATCTATACCTTGCCTTTCTCACCAAAGGGACCCCAAACGGCTTACAAGCCTTACAATATCACTTTCTCCTCCTCCACTGTATCCTCACGACAACCCTGTGAGGAAAGTTAGGCTGAGATCACCTGGCAAGCTTTTCATTGTAAAGTGAGGATTCAAACTTGGTCTCTCATATCAAAGTCTGACATTCTAACCACTACAACTCACTGGCTATACTTAACTGCTATACAAATCAGAAAGGGATATGAATATCAGAACTGCTTGAGAAATACTCAAGCATTAAAGCAGCGACAAGGCACATTTTAAAAAGCTTCTTTACTAGGAACCAAAACATTTTACATTTTTTTCCTACTGTAAAGTGAGGTGACCACAAGAGAAGAGATGTCACTGCTAGGTTTCATTCTCTTGTCCTCTTCCTCTGTCAACCACAGAATGGAAATGGAATCTTCCCTTGCTATAGTTGGTGCAAGATTGATGGGCATTGCTACAGCACACACGTTTTCCATAAATAGCATAGTGCTTTTACAAGGTGCTTTTTTTAACCTTTGGCCTTCATCAGTGGTACCTCTGAGTAGCCACCCAAACCAGTCAGTGACAGCCCAAAGCACTTACACATACCTGCTTTTCTGTACAGTTTCTCTTTCTGGTCTCCTCTTTATCTGCCAGCTCTTCCAACTCACTGTCAGTGTCATCAAGATCATCATCATATTCACCACCGTCATCATCATATCCTTCCTGATCATCTTCTATTTCTGCTCCAGAATCATCATCCTCATCCGTGCATTCCTCAGACTCCTCCTCCTCTTCTCCCTCTGAAGATGCTGCACAAGGGCTACCGTCTGGGTTATTCAAATCCGAAATCAGCAGAGCACATAAGCCATTTTGTAGCTTGATGTATCTAGGAAATTGCATGTATGTCATCATTATCATCCTAACCCTTCCAGATGGATCCTAATACCATCCAAAAATTAAAACATGGACCACATGAAGTGGTTCATCAAGATCAGTACTGTCTACTCAGACTGGCAGCAGCTCTCCAGGGTCTTTCATGTCACCTACAACCTGGTCCTTTCAACCTGGAACCTTCTGCATTAAAAGCACACTGAGCCATGGCCATGAACACAAACATGTTAAAAGTCATTTATGAATTATCTGTACAAAAATCATGGGATAGATTTAATAGTAATTCAGTTTGGTTTTCCAGAGGATAAGGTAGAAGCAACCACTCCCTGGTGGAAAAGCAGCAGCGCGGCATTTTGTAATCACAAAACAGCATACGGTAGGGTGGTAGAGAACTGCACAGTGCTTTTTCCCTGCTGGTGTTAAGAGGGTACACTGCTAACACAGTCATTATTGGCTAGCCATTATTAAACTGAATGGCTGCCATTCAAATTGCAAATGAAAAGTGTGTTTGGCTTTTATTAAAGAATACATAGGGACAGAGCTATGCCACTCAGTTTTTCTAAAGAGAACAAAGGCCACTGCAGCATTCTGTCTAATACCAGAAATTCAGGTTGTGCATTCTTATCAGCTTGGCAGGAGCCTCACCCAGCAGCAAAGAAGCAGTCCCAGGGTTTTTTGTGATGACGCAGGGTTTCCAGTCCTAAGATGACCTTTCATTTGGTGAAGAGAGAGACACCTTCTGAGTTTTAAGCAGTATACAGCTCTGATATTCACTCTTTGAGTCAAATCAGGACGTGGCACTGGTGCCAAGAGTCCCCCAAGCTGAATTGTATGTTTAAGTCACGCAGGTGCCCTTCTCTTTAGCAAATGACAGGATACCATGGAGGTGTCTGCAGCATCACAGAGGTCAGGGTGATCTCTCAGATTGCAAGTAAGACCTGTTATGACTCTTGCCCACCGCCTGACCACCTTCCCTGCGGCAGACTGAAAGATGTTGAGCAGCTTCTTACCTTGCAGATGTTCCTCCAAGGAAATGACAGGGGTACCCAGGTAAGAAATGGTGACATGCATTTCACAAGAGACAGTCTCTTGAATATTGGAATGGGGGGGGGGACACTTTCCCTGCCAAAAACTGGGGGGAAGGGAGCAATAATGTCACGGCTAGAGAAAATTCATTTTCTCTTCAATACAGTCCAACCACATGGGCTCAAGAGGTGGGCCACACCTATCCTAGCAAGAAATTTTTTGGACATGTTTAAATGTAAGCAGATGGTCAAATACCATTACCTATCTGTTAAAATATTTCATACTCTAAAGAGAAATATCAAACATCAGATTAACAAAGATAAAAACTATTCCTCTACCCACATTACAAAAGTTTCTAACTTCTAATATTGCAATTTAAATTAAAAATTTAACATAAGTATGGATGTAATAAAAAAGACTAATATTAGCTAATAAACTGTCCAGAAACACTGAGGATACTCAAACATGATAGATGTATCCTTTCCTTTCTTGCTCTCCAGAAAGCAAAAAAATAACAACAAAACAAAGCTACAGGCACTCCAAAGGAGTCCTCCAAGGAGAGAGAAATACTATTACCTATCTTTTAAAAATGAACAAACCTTAAGACCATACACCCCTACCCTACATGGATGATCAAAAAAAGTACATTTGTGATTTTAGGCAACTCCTCCCCACTTTCAGAGGCTACTGACACCCAGCAGAAGACAGTTGTTTTATGTAAGGTGGCCCTTGAATAAATTCCTAGGTCTCTCCCACAGGTCCCTTAAAAAGTGGCACACAGCAAACAGGAATAAGCAAGAATACCCCCTCCAAGGATAGGTGAGAAGAACCAAATGACAATACTCCTCCATCCATGAGACTAGGTACGTGTGATGAGCTTCCAAAAAGAAAACAACAGAAAGGGGCACTGCAAGAGCAACAAAGGCAAAAGTGAAACAAGAAAACAAAAATAAAGTTGGTGCTGTTTTGGAGAACCCTCTTTTTCCTTACCTGCATAGCTCATTAATATACCTATATACTGTTGCCTTGTCTGGTGTACTGCTTTTAATGACCTAATTTTTCACTTGTGGCTTGGGGGGGGGGCACTCAGTTATAATCTTGCATACTTGGTGGTTAGTAATGGATTAAAGGTTAAGAACATCTGGTATCAACAAATGGCTCACTGATTCTTTTTAAAAATGAGAGTGACGCTTCCTGCAATACCTTAATCCCACTAAAACTGACTGGTTGGAGGCATCATCACCATCATTTCATTTTAATCACTCAAAGGATCATACTTAACCCCCCAAAAAAACCCTAGCATTTAAGGATATACTAAAACCTCTGATAGAATATAATTCCCTTAATTTTAGAGAATATCATTTCCTTAACCTTAAAATTTTCTGAAATGTATTTCAAGATGAATATTTAACATACATCATTTATATTACACAAATGTAATTAATTATATAACCTACATTTACTGACTTCCCATTTCAAATTATATATCTTAGAAATTAGTCATTTGAAGAAAATCAATGACCATCTTTTACAATGCGCTCGCATAATCCCTTCCTTTTTCATATCTCCAGAAGTGCATATTTTCAGCAATGAATCTATATGCATTTGTGCAACATTCAGTATTAGCATATCTATACTTTTGAAGAGGAGGGAGGAGACCTTCTAGGCCAATTTGTAATTCTCTTCCTTTTCTTACATCAGTAGCACTGCAATCTTAATTAGGCGTTTTCCTCCCTTTTGGCATTAAAACTAGCAAAACAGCTCTACCAAGCAATGATGAAGGAACAAGTTACCTGTTCTGATGTGATCTAGTTACACTTAACTGAGATTATAATCTAACCAGCACAGTAAAATGAGGTGTGGGGGAGGGGGACCTCAGCCAAGTCCAGGTGTTAGATCCACAAGAGGAAAAACTGTAATACTAGTCCAAATATCAGTTACTAACAACAGAAGTCAACCACAGTAACACCTAAAACAATGAATCAAGAGGTAACACAATGCAAATATATGAACAAATAAAGCTGCCTCATACAAAGCAGGCCAGTAGTCCATTTAGCTCTACAACATCTTCTTTAAAGTCGGCAGTTGTCCAAGACCTCAAGAAAAGAATGATTTTTCTAAGCACCTACTACCACCCATGGGCACACTATGTGCTGTTCCAGTGAGCACAACCTTCCAAAAGTAGAAGTCAGTAGTAGTGACTACTGTAAGGCACACTATACAAGACAACCCCGAGACAATCCAGAAACTACAGGTAGGAGAGAATGCCCTGGCCCACAGGAAATGCATAAACTTGTGCTAGCTCTTCTACATTGGCTGCTTATACCAACAAGCCAGCTTAAGTGAGTTGTTTGTGACTTTTAATGCTTAGATAGTCTGGGTCAGAATGCCTACTAGAACATCTCATACCATATGAATCTCCCTATCTCCAAGGCAGCCAGTATGGTGTAGTGACTACAGTGTCAGATTAGGGTTTGGAAGACCCAGATTCAAATTTTATACTGTCATGAAAGCTTGCTGGATAACTTTGGGCCACTCACGCTCTCTCATCCTAACCTACCTCACAGACTTGTTGTGATGATAAAATGAAGGCGAGGAGAATGATCTATACCACTTGGGGTCCCTATTAGGAGAAAGGTGGGGGGGTTACTTCTGGTTTTTCTCATATATTTCTAAATTACTACAAAGGGTGCTATTGCCATTTAAACATTTTAATATTTGATGGTTTTAGCTGTGCCTTGTTACTGGTCACCTTAGATACTTACTTTCAGGGCACAAACAAGAGAACAAACCTCGCTGCCAACCTTTGGACCTAATTTTGGGTCCCCACTGAGGGAAATGGTAGGGTATACATGAAGTAAATGTGATAAATACATGTGCACAAGATGATTAACACATTTGTAAAGCAATAAAACTGAGTCAACAAGCCATTTACGCCTTTCAAAGGAACTGGAAATGTTTGCTGGGGGTTGGTATTTTATGAACTTATAAATGGAGTCCCACATATTGCTCTGTCCATCTTCTTTGCACTCTACCCTTCCTCCAAACAGCTCACAGCAACATATAATTTATCTATGTTTAGGGATGGGCATAAACCAGTTCACAAACCAAAATTCGGCCCAAATTTGGGCCAGTTCAGAGTTTATGAATCGATGTTCAGGGAAGGCATCTTCCCCAAACATTTCCTGGACTTGTGGCCCGTTCAGTTCAGCTGTTTAGGGCCAGCCATTTAAACCTGACAGCTGAGCAGGTCCACCAGTCAACTTTAGGTTTGAATGTTTTGCTTCCCCCCCCCTTTCGAAGGGGATGAGAAGCAAAACTGAAGGGTTAAATGGCTGCAAGCTGTGAATCATTTTGTACAGAACAAAGCTGTGATCTACAGAGAAAACCCTTCTAGAATGATTAACTTTTGCACAGTATGTAAAAAGCCAGGAGAGTGGGAGCCTTCCTGATTTCCCCAGGCAGGCCGTTCCATAAGGTGGGGACCAAACAGAAAAGGCAAATGTACAAGCAGTTGTTGATTTTGCCCATTTGCAAGTTGGCACCTGCAGAAGACCCTGCTCATATGAGCAAAGCTCTCATGGCAGGGCATAGGGAAAGAGGCAGTTCACAGATGTGAGGGTCCAAGACCATGAACAGTTTTGTATTTTGTAGCCAATATGTTAAATTGAGCTCAGTGACTGAGTGGAGTGACTGCAGAAAGGGAGTAATATGCATGCTTCATCTAGCTCCCAATAATAGTCTAGTCATGGCATTCTGCACCAACTGGAGTTGCTGAATTGATTTTGAGGGGAGGATCAATGTACAGTGCTTTACAGTAGTCTAGTCTTGATGTTACTGTGCCATGGATCCAGGTGGCCAGCAGTATGAAGGCCATCTTTGGGGCTAGGCTGAGTTGGAAGACAGTCTTTTTTTAAAGTTGCATTAATTTGCTTCTCTAGTAATAACACTGGGTCCGGTATAACCCCAAGGCTCTTTCCTGAATCAGCAAGGGCCAGCTGAACTCTATCAAAAGTGGGAAGCACAATATCCTTTAAGATCTCCATCTTTCCAACTAGCCTTTTCAGGGTTTAGTTTCAATCTGTTCACTCTTGGCCCCGGTCACACGGGCCGGATATCGCGGGGGGGAGGCGTGGCAAATTGCCCTGGCGCAGTTTGATCCGCGATTATACAGTCAGATGCGCCAGCAGCACACCATGGGTCCTTCCCTCAGAGCCAGCGCGTAAACGAGGGGCCGGAGGGGAAAGCCGCATGCCAGCGCGATCACACCGCAGGCATCCGGAGGCATCCCGTGGCAAACTGTTTGCCAGTACTTTGGGAGGTACTACTTTTTTATTGCGCGTTTTCAGCGGTAAGCCACGGGTTGGCCACGGGTGCACTCCACTTCCCAGATGTTGGGGTGTGATTGCACACGGATAATTCGCCCACCACCCATGGCTCTCCCACGGCAAATTCGCCGTGTGAACGGGGCCCTTAGCTAATTTATCATAGCAACCAAGAAGCTATTCAGGATCAACCACATCAACAGAAGATTTGGATAAGGATATATGGAGTTGGGTGTCATCTGCATATTAAGTTACAACCAACCCCAAAGCTACAAATGATTTGTCCTAATTTGGATAGCTCAAGATAGCCCAATCTTGTCAGAACTTGGAAGCTAAGCAGGGTTGACCTCGGTTAATATTTGAATAGAAGATCACCAAGGCATACCAGGGTTGCTACACAGAGCCAGGCAATGGCAAACCACTTCTGCATGTCTCTTGTCTCGAAAACCCTACAGGGTCACCATAAATTGGTTGTGATTTGACAGCAAAAAAGGGGGAGGGCTTTATATAGAGATTGAAAAGCATGGGGGACATAATTGTTCCGCACTGAGGATAACTGATTTCCAATAGCAACCCTTTGATTCCAATCCATGAAGAGTGATTTGAACCAGTTCAGCATGCATCCCAATATCTAATTCTACCTCCAAGTGTCTCAATAAGATGGTATGATCTACTGTATCAGATAAGTCCAATAAAAGCAATAAAGAGGCATAGCCTTTCAAAACGTTCTTTATCCATGTATTGAGTTATCCTCATGTTACATTCAATGCACATAGAGCTGAATCTGTGTGATTTAAACCACATTTATCCAGGTACTGGTCCCTGGTTTCCTTTGTAAAGTGAACACACATTGTCTTTTTCTTACAAACAGATGTACACGTTTACACACAGGATGCATGGGCGTTCTCTGTAACACCTGAACTGGGCTCTAAGGAGCACACAGCACGTGTTGGAGAGCTAGTATAATGTAGAACTAGGTCCGTCAGAGGCGATGGCTCTTCTCCATTAAGAAGAACTCCACTCAGAGAGGCCGCATCGCTTCACTGAATGTCCACTGCAAACCTGAATGTCCCCTGGTTCCCCCCATGACCGCCAGCTCACCTGTACTGTTTGGGATCACTGGGAGACTTGATAATCTCCGGATCCCCCAGGTTGGGGCTATGTCCGCAGTCGGCGACAGCAGCAGCGCCTCCTTCTCCTCCCCCCTCAGGCTCTTCCTGGACGGCGCCGGCTTTAGCCCCACGGCTGCTCTCCAAGTCCTGTGGCTGGTCGGGGCCGCAGACAGACGAGGCTTTGGCCCTGCCAGGCATGCCTGTTGATGGAAGTGCGACAGAGTGGCACAGAAGGGGCTCGATGACGGTCCGTCGGGAGCTGGCTTTTGGGTGACCCGCACCGTTACAGCGACGGTGGCTGCCAATGACTCGCCGCGCTTGGAGCTGCTTCACCCCTGACGCCGCGCGCGCGAAGGCGAACGCTACCCTTCGCATCCACCGTGGGCCAAACCCGGCCCGGCACTTCAACTCCAACCCCCGGCCACAGAGGCCGACGCTAGGAGCCCGTTGTCCAATCAAGGCTAAGGTAGGAGTTCACGTGATATACACCAACAAATCCTAAACTCCAACGGCCCAGCTTGATTCTGATATAGGCTAAAACTGAGAACGTGAGAATGAGGGAACAACCACTGTTGGTGCCGGTGGAGGGGGAGGTTGGAATCGAGAGAAATGCATCAAATTCTTTAGTGAGGAGAGATATGCTGTTGGAATATGGTGTTTTCCTCTTTATATAGTCAATGGGTTTTTCTTGTCTCGCAAAACTAGAGTTTTCTTTTGTTGATAAATTGCTTCTGAAGATAAGCTGTCTTGGTTTGGGCCAGGAGCTGTCGTTATAGTACGATAGGCCAATAATGTGATACAGATGAGAGATACCAGTTACGTAGTGTCATGGTGGTGGGAAGTACTTGTTTCCGCCACTAAATTGGAGCGTTTGTTAACGTCTCAAGCTGATTTATATGCAGAGGTTTAGGAGTTGTTTTTAAAGTTCGTGACTAGTCTGTAGTTGTTTAGGTTTTTTTGAAATTATGCTTCATTTTTATTTTTTAGTTAGGAGCATAAACGTTATCAACTCTGGTTTGGGCAATTTTTGGAGTTTTGGGGGGTGGAACCTGGGGAAGGTGGAGTTTGGGAGGATACGATGCTCAGCAGGAATCTGATCTTTTTCGTTTGGAGATCATTTTAATTGATGGGAATCTCCAGTCCCCACCTGGATGCTGGCAACCTTAAAGGGAGGTATTTTTTAGTTGAAGCTCCAAGCAACTCTAGAAGACTGAAACTTCATTATTCTCAGAAGTCTCTGAATAACTAATTTTTATTTGTAATCATGAAAACTTGTGATTATTTCTGTACTTAATTTCTGATGAGTTGTTTTTGGTAGAAAGCAGTGCAGAAAATAAGTAATTCAAATAATTATCTCCCTTACAACTGCTTACTCTAATATACTCTCTGTGATGCAAAATAGTGATGTCTTTAGATAGCAAAATACGTAAATCTTGGAATGTCTGGTCTTCAGATGGACTAGAAAGGTGGGTACAGCACCCTATGCTAAATCACAGTTTTCAGGTTTTATTTGAATTTCTTTAAAGAGTGATTTGTTCTGCAGATTTTTTTGGAAAAAACCCAAAAATGATATACTTTGCTTTTGATTTACTAGGAACATCTGGGATATATTGTTAAGAAGCTTTGAAGAAGTATGCTACAGACTTAAAAAGTTAGTTCAGGCCATTGTGTCAAAATTTGGTGAAAATGTTCTTGTACTTTGTGCTATGCAGTCAGATTTTCTACAGAGCTTGGGGGTGTTATGACCTTTTGAGGTCTAGGGGCTTGTGTGCCTAGTTGTAGACAAACAGTCTTGTAATAGTCATGTAAAGTTCACTAACATTCACTAACAAGCAAGGGACCTGTAAGGAAAAAAATCCCATTTCCCCTTCCTGTTGCCTGTCTCAGTGTCCCTACCATACTCATTGTTTGACCCCTTTCCAAGCTTTCCTCCCCTGCTACACCATGAGCACATTAAGCTACTTTATAGTAGATCTGATCATTACTCCATCAGAGTCAGTATTGTTTATATTGTTTACTCAGACTGGTAGCTGCTCTCCAGGGTCTCAGGTGGAGGTCTTTAAATCACTTTCTACTTGATCCTTTTAACTGGAGATGCCAAGGATTGAACCTGAGCCAAGCTGATGCTTTACCACTGAGCCACTCCAAAGTCACTGTTTCCTTCCTGCCTTTTTTGCTACTGCTTTCCCTGTTTCCCCAACCCCTGCCAGTTGTTCCTATATGTTACCTTTTGCCTTGTCCCCATACAGTTTTCCAGCACTGCTGCTTTAGTATCATGTGCCAGGTTGTTGAACTCCTTTCTAAACAATTACCATTTATTCAAAAAAGCAGGGAAAGACTAACACAAAGAGAGAAATATTCATGTGTAGACATCACTTGTCTTTTTAAAGCGAAGGTTTGCTTCTTCATTTCCCCCCCTGCAGATCTTGGGTTTTCCTCAGGATTTGCAGAAACCTACATCCTAGTCCTGGGTGGCTCCCATTGTACAGACCTTGTTGACCTGCATGGTTGAACTACTACCCAGAACTGTTAGATATATGTTGTGGCTATGCTAGGTTAATTTAAACTGTAAATGTTCCTATTATCTAGTCAAATCTGATTCAGTAGTGAAAGCCCTATAGGCTTTATTTTTCAGTGTCATAAACTATCTAATGATCACATGCACACAGGATTGTGAAGTATATTTAATAACTGCTTATGATGTGTTCCCTGCAAACTGATCAAATTTTCTTATCCCCATATCTGTGTTGCTACTTAAAGAGCTTCTGTTTTCAGCTGTCCTAGGTGTACTTTTTTCTGAATTAAAATCAGAGAAACATCTCAGACTTTAAAACTCTTTACAGATTTTTGTAAGATTCTCCGTCCTTACAGGAAGCTCACCCTTGTGTTTCCACATGACTAGTTCCTGCAGACTGTCTCATTGAAAGAAGGTAAGACTTGAGTGGTGACCCACAAAGAAGCAATGGCATCTGCAGCTGACAATTCTTCTGTTTCTGCTCACAGGTAATGGCTATAGATTGCACTGGATGCTGAACAGCTGCCTCCCCCAGCAGGGGGAATGACTTGAAGAATGCAAGGCCAGAGCAATAAATAGTGCTGTTCATGTTTCTAATTTTCAGAATATTGCTGTATCTCTCTTAGCTCTGCAACAGACTGATTTATTTCTTCTTGTTATCCAAAGAGCTTAAAATACACTTGGGCATATTTTAGCAGACTAGTCCTATAGATACAGCTGTGATTGTGCAAAGTTGTGTGTGCATGGGATGATAATAGTTGTATGATGAACAAAATAATGTGGTCTGAATACTCTCGAGTTCTAGATCATTGTTTTGTTTTTTTTTTAAATATTTTTTTTATTTTCACACACTGTTAAACAAAACAAACAGAGCAAACAAACATAAAAACCATCACCCTTGTTATGGCCAATATTATAGTCTTCCATGATACATAAATCCTAAATCAAGTTAGCCAATTCATTACATAGTTTCTGTAATTCTTTTAAAACTTCTGCACCCCAATTCCTAGATAACCCATTATTTATTACTCATTATTATAATACTTTTATTCTTATTCAGCTTAAAGTTCAGCTGTTTTTTCCATCTGACTTCATGTTAGTTCAGAACTCATACTTTACTGAAGTAGCATTGTTTCCTCTTCTTACGTATTTCATATGGTACATCTTTCAGTACTTTTATCTCTTCCTCTTGGATTTTTAATCTTGTGGCAGTAGATGCTTTAAGTATCGAGTCTCTTGTTGATCTTTTTGTAAATTTAACAAATATTTCCCCTGGAAGATTATTTTTCTTCACAAACTTTGAATAAGTTCTATAAATCATGTCTATGTCCGCTTGCAATATTTCAGGTTTGCTTTTAATCAAGGGGGCCAATAGCTACCTAGCTTAAATCCTTGCCTCAACCTGTAGGGATCCTTTAAGGTCAACCTATATTTTATTTCTTTTTTATTTTGATTTTCCCTATTTTCTTTCACATGCCTTTGGTCCTTGAATTCTTCTGACTTGCCACCCCAATCAGGTTCCCTGTACTGCATTGTACATATATTCAAGTATTTAACAGTCCCACCCTTAACCTTCCTAGAAACTTTCAACAATTTTCTCCTTCTCTTTATTTTCTTTCTTTTTCTCCGGAGAGGGTTGTAGTGGCTTCTCCCCCCAACTCTCATTCTCAGACTTTTCTTCTCCTCTGGAGGAGTACATATCGGTAAGTCCAATTCCTGTGACCCAGTCTCTGTGAGTAAATGCTGGATTACATACAGTTCTCCTTCTCGTATATCTACCAGTGGTTCATCTTGTCCTTGTGTCTCTTTTTTTTGTACTGTATTGCCATTTTCTTCTCCATTTACACAACCTGAATGGGCGAAGATGTCATCCCAGACAGACGCAAGTGTCTTGTTTAATTCTTCCTTCAGAAGCTTTTTAAAATGGTCTGACCTGAGTTCCAAAATTATTGCGTCTTTCAACTCATTACGGAGCGTCTCCAGCGCCATTTTCCTCTCCCAACTCAGCCTTTCCAAACAGCCTTCAAGTTCTGAAAAGGTCCCGTGTCCTTCTTGTATTTTATAATCCTTAGCGAAACAATTAGTAGTTGACGTTATATTCAGCCAGACTTCTCTTTTTACCCATGCTTTTTAGGCTATCGTTCCTCTCACTTTTCACCGCCGCTTAATAATAGTAGAGGTAACTCCAAGGAGGGGTAACTCACGCCGCTTCTTCTTTTCGTCATGGAGTGCACCAGTGAAGACAGACAACAAACAAAATCTCAACGTGAATAAGCATCATGGAAAAGAAAAAAAGAAAAAAAAGGTTTTAAAACGGTCGGTCGCTGCTATGAACACGGCACCGTGTTCCTCCGACCTCGCCTTCTGCATCGGGGCAACCGGCAGCACCCCCCGCGTTTCGCCGACAACGGGGGGGGCCGGCAAGCCCCCTACAACTTCCTCCTCCTCCAGAGGTGGAAGCGGGGCTTAAACGCCAAAACGGAAAAGCCCCAAAAAGGCGTGGGGAGTCGGCCGGTTCGGAGCTCGTCCGAAACCCGGCCGTGATGCAGCGCCATCAAACCGGAAGTCAGAACAGAATAAACTTTAATGAGTCTCATGGAACGCCCACCCCAGCCCAACCAGATATATCCTACAAAGCTTTCAAGCAATTCTCAAGCTTAGATTTGGCAGTTGTCTAGTGGGAGGGAGTTCCATAGTTTAAGCAAAAGGGCTTGCCTGGCAGAGAGAAAAGAAGAAGAGAAGAGATTGGATTTACACCCTGCCCTTCACTACCCAAAAGGTGTCTCAGAGCGGCTTACAAACTCCTCTCCCTTCCCCTCCCCACAACAGACACCCTGTGAGGTCGGTGGGGCTGAGAGAGCTCTGACAGAAACTGCTCTTTTTCAAGAACAGCTGTAAAAAAAAAT